TGAGCTGGGGCCCCTCCATCACCCCCGATCCCCATGTGGGACCCCGAGGCTGGGCCGGGGCCCCTCCATCACCCCCGGTCCCCATGTGGGACCCCGAGGCTGAGCTGGGGCCCCTCCATCACCCTGTGGGACCCCGAGGCTGGGCTGGAGCACCCCTCACCTCCTGCAGGCCCCTCCATCATCCCCGATCCCCATGTGGGACCCCAAGGCTGGGCTGGAGCACCCCTCACCTCCTGCAGGCCCCTCAGTTACCCCTGATCCCCGTGTGGGACCTCAGGGCTGGGCTGATGCCCCTCCATCCCCATGTGGGACCCCAAGTCAGCCTTGAGCACCCCTCACCTCTGGGAGGTCCCTCCATCATCCCCCATCCATCCGTATGTGGGACCTAGAGTCTGGGCTGGGGTCCCTCCATCCCCATGTTGGACTCCAAGTCTGGACTGGGGCACCCCTCACCTCTGGGAGGTCCCTCCATCCCCATGTGGGACCCTGAGTCTGGACTGGAGCGCCCCTCATCTCCAGGAGGCTTCTCTGTTCTCCCCTGATCCCCATGTGGGACCCCGAGGCTGAGCTGGGGCACCCCTCACCTCTGGGGAGGCTCCTCCATCCCCACTTCCAGAGTGGGACCCCTAACTCCTCCTTCCCCCGGACCTCTTCCTCCTCCTCCAGGTAGCTAAAGAGGGACCTTCCCCCTTCCTGAGCCTGTACCACCTTTTCCCTGTTTGAGTCCTGGGCCAGTTTTGTCTCCTTTCCTCTCCCCAGCTACCCTGAAGCCCCCAGCCTGCTGCACCTCCGCCCTTTCCTCCTTATAAGCCTTGGTAGCCCCAGCCCTTTCCTAAGGTCCCCTTGGAGGCAGCCCCCCTTCCTCACACCCACTCACTCAGGTACCCCCCAACTTCAACCCCCCTGCCCCGCTGCCTCACCTCCTACTGCTGTGGTCACTCAGATTTCCTCTCCCGCCCCATCACCACCCCACCGGCTCCTCTTTCCATCTGGGCAGCTCCACCACACCCAAGGGCTGCCTCCTTCACCCTCAGGGTCCCTCCCATAAGACCAGGGTCCATTTCCTCCCTGGAACACCACAGTCCTTGGCTCCCCACCTCCCCCACCAAGGTGGGCTGTCCGTTCTCTGCTGTGGGGCCCTTGTGTGTCCCCCACCTCATTCTCAATCTTCCTGTGCAGTCTGGAGCTTCCCCTGCCCTCACTTCCCGCCCCCCACTATCCCACCCCAGCATCACAGAGCCTGTCTGCAAAGCTGGAATTGTGTGATCCCCACCTCCCTGGGCCTTCCTGCTGGGGCTCTGGTACCCACACCCCGCCCCTTCCTCCTGCCGCCCCAGCCCCTTGCTGCCTCTGCTCCTCCCCCGTGCCCCTTGACTGGCAGGGGCATGGGCCAGGAGCCGTGGCAGTGATAGGTGCTAGGTGTTGGGGTGTGTGTGGCTGCTGGCGCCAGCCCATGGAGGTGCTATGTGGTCTCGGGGCAGCACCAGGTCATCCAGGCACACAGCTTGTGTTTCAGGCGCCCACTCGCTGGGGTTTCCCTTTTGGCTCTAGCGTTTCTGGTTTTTGTTCTGCGAGAGCTGGGAACTGCCCCGTGGATTCCCATGGGGAGCCAGGAATTGGAGCATACTGTCACCACTGTGTGGTGAAATGTCCCTGCCCAGCCCTGGGGGGGGTCTTGTCTGGCCCCCGCTCTAATCCGCTCATCTCCAGTGTGTCCTGCTGTGACGCATCGAGGTGGCTGGTGGGTGCGTCAGTGGGAAGAGGTGGCACACTATGACAGAGAGGGGCTAGCGCATCTCTGAGCTGCCTGGGACGGTGGGTGGGTTGGTTTCTTGGGTGGCCCAGTGAAAGGGCAGCACAGGTGACGCGGGCCCCTTGTAACCGTGGTGGCCATGGGGCGGCACTGGCCTCGGCCCCCACAGAAGTATTTGGTGTATACCTGGTCCTCAGAGCGGGGGTCTAGTGTGTGTGTGAACCTGCATTGTGGTGCACCTCTTCCAGCCAGGTTTACGGGAGACTTAAGAGGTCCCCGGAGACAGTGATGTCCCCCATGGCTGCACCGCCTTTCCTGCCTCCCAGCTTGGGGTTCACATCTCACTGCTGCTCTTCTCTTTCTCCAGAACCTGTGGTCCACCCACCAGGTGGGATTCCCCGTTGTGCTCTGGGCCCCCAGGCTCCCTGTGAGTGCGTCATCTGGTTCTCAGAGCTCCAACTCCCCAACCCTGAACACTTGCTTGGTCCCTCACCCCGGACTGTCTGTGTTCTCCCTGTGTGGGTCTGTGTGTTGGACTGGGGGATGGAGCCGGGTGATTCCCTAGGGGCTCTGCCTGCCAGCAGCGCAGTTGGTCTCCAGGGCGCCGGGTGGGTGGGAAGGACTGGGGTGGAACCTCCGTGAATGTTGTGCAGACCCAGGAGGGGTGAGTCAGGCACTGGGGGCGCGGGGAGGTAGCTGGCCCCCTGGGCAGCCCTGTCCCAGCAGGACCCTGGAGTTTCCCTTCCCAGAGGTTGGCCTGGCACCTGCCCTGGGGGCCAGCGTGGGGGTGGTTGGTCTTGTTGCTAGCCGCAGGTGAAGATGCTGGTGGGTTTGGGTGGGAGAGCAGCGTGTTAGGATGTACCTGCCGAGGGGGTGGGTCTCTAACTGTGTCCCCTTGCCCCATGTCCAAACGCCAGCCGGGAAGGGCCCGAGATGGGTTGAGGTCTGCTTAGGGAAAGTCAGAGTTTACCCAGTGCACTGCCTGGGGGGGGTGACCCACCTGCCCCCACCCCCTTGCTTGACAAGCTGCGGCCAGCCCCTTCGTGGCGTTGAAGTCACTGTGTCACAGCACCTGCAACCCGACCAGCCTGTCAGGACTCCTCGCACGGGGTTTTCCCACCAGCTTGGCCACGTGTCGGGTCACTATCTCTGCAGCCTGACCAGGTAGCACATGCCTTGGTTGGGGTCGTCTGCTTCCAGGAAGTCTTCCCAGATTACCCCCCTCCCTGTTCCTGGGAGAACTTGGGAGAGACACCCGGCCCTCAGCCCTCGACACCCACGTAAATGTTGTCCCCCCAAGTTCCTGAAGGTCTGTCCCCAGGGGGCCCAGGACGCCAAGGGTGGTGGTGTGATTGCACGGCCTCGTGGCCTGCACGCCTTGGCGTCGTTCACAGAGAGGAATAGCAGGGCCCCTGTGTTGTCTCTGCCGTGCTGTGGGTCAGAGAAGCCAGGGAGCACGCAACCCCTGGCTTTGTCCCTGCCCTATAGCCCGGGAGCCACTCTGGCCTTGGATCCATGCAGCCGGCCCTGCCCCCGTCCTTTCATGCCCTGGCCGGTGGCTGCCACCCTTGAGAGCTCACGAGGTAGGGTCGTTCACATGTCAGGTGGGACCTCACAGCCCACGGCTGCAGAGGGCAAAGCCTGTGACTCGTCCCTGCCCCCTGGGAGGCAGTGCAACCCCTGGACCGCAGGTCATCCCACAGGTGGTACACAGATTCTCAATGGAAAGCGCCACTGTGGCCCCGGAGTCCCCAGCAGGAACCCCTGGGGAACTGCTGGAGAGAAACTGGCTATTAAAGAGCTGCCCCCTGGGACCCAGGCTGGGGCGGGGCTCCTGGAAGGCTGGAGAGCTGCACTGAGCAGGTGTCTTCCGCCAGCCAGCGCCCTCAGGTGGGGGAGAGACCCATGCCTTCGGGTGAGGCATTTGTTGGGTTTGCAGGGCTAAGAACCCTAACCTGTTGGAGCCAAGTGGCCTGGAGGGAGGGCCGTGTCCCTGTGGAGGCCCTCTGCCCTAGTTGAACTGTTCCCAGAAGGCCTGTGGAGCCGCCTGTGCCCCTCAGCCATCCGGAGTCAGAAGGCTGGCACCCGCTTGCTGGGGAGCAAGTGGCCAGGGAGTGGGTCCCTAAAAGACACAGGGAAGGGGACCCCCTGAGCTGGGCGCCCTGGCGTGGCTGGTAGGAGACCCCTCTGTGCTCACCCAGCACCAGGCGGTGGGTTGCTTGTCTGCAGTTTAGCCTGGTGCTTCCTAGAGAAACGAGTTCAGCGTGCTGGAGTCACGGGCCAAGGGGACCCTGCTTGTCAATCATTGGGGTGTCCCCGTGCCCCTCTAGTGTAGTCACAAATGGCAGGAAGGCAGCGGTGGCGTTGGTGAGACGGCGACCCCGAGCAGACAGTGGGAGTCACTGGTGGCACAGGGGGTGGCGTTGCCGCTGTGTCCTCCCGCTGTGCCCACATCGGGGACGAAGTGGGTGGTTGCATTGAGTGTTCTGCATGTGCGGCGCTCCTCAGCAATGTGCTTGTGGTACAGCTGTGCCTGTCTTTGTGGACGGGGAGCCTGCTCCTCCCACATCGGGCTGGACGTAGGGGGAGGGGTGAGAAGCAGGGTCCTTGGCTGTGCGGGTGGGAGGGTTGGGTGCCGGGGTGTGCTGGTGGAGTGCAGTCCAGGCGGCTTTCCTGGAAGGTGCCACTCTCCCAGCGGCTGGCTCCTGCTTCCCCCGTGGGCAGTAGGTGGGCTTGGCCCTGCAGTGGTGTGGGGCACTCCCTGGCGTGATACCGGCTGTCAGGTCTGTGTCCGTTAGGGGTTTGGAGGTTTTTTCCTAACGTGGCCTGCAGTGGGATCACCTGAACTGCCTACTCAGAGTCCCCAGAAGCCCATCGCCAGCCGCTGGCTGTCTCCCCAGGGCCACCCTAGGGGAGCCCGGAAGGGCCTCTGTTCCGCCCAGGATGTGCAAGGAGAGGGTGGAGGCGTGGCCAGGGAGGCCTGGAACAGGTGGTATTTCCTACAGCAGCTACCCATGCTGTTGGGAGCCCCAAAGCCTGGAGGGGGATCCCAGAAGCAGGCAGGACAGCGCCCCCCGTGGGCGGCAGCCAGCTCAGGGCTTTCTGTAGAGAAAGATGCCTGGAGTGTGCTGAAGATGTGGGGGCTGCTTGAGTGGTCAGGGAGGGCATGGGAACAGTGCTGTGGCATCATGAACTGCCGAGGAGGCAGTGTGAGCAGAGCAGAGGGGGTGGGGCGGACAGCAGGTGGCTGTGCCCCGGCTGGCTGCAGCAACACTCGGCTTGGCGCCAGTGCCCTTAGAGTACCCCGGCTTGGATGGGCGACCCACATGGGAAATCGGGGTGGTTGGCCATGATACTGACCCCGTTGCTGTCCCCTTTGTCCCTCCAGTGCACTGTCCAGGTCAAGTTGGAGCTGGGACACCGTGCCCAGCTGCGCAAGAAGCCCACTACAGAGGGGTTCACCCACGACTGGATGGTGTTTGTGCGCGGCCCCGAGCAGTGCGAAATCCAGCACTTTGTGGAGAAGGTGATCTTCCGGCTGCACGACAGCTTCCCGAAGCCCAAGCGTGGTGAGTGGCCCCGGCCCGCCCCGCACGGCCTCCCCAGGCTGGCGCTGACCTGGGGAGGGGGCACCCCAGCTGCCACCTGCTGCCAGCACCCGGAGAACCTCCTTTGGGGTCCCACCCACCTCTTTACCTGACCCGCAGTGGGTGGTAGTGAGGGGGCACCCTGGGCTTGCTGGAGGGCACAGTATAGAGCCAGAGGCCACTTCCTGCAGCAGAGACCCTGGGACAGCTCTGGTAGGCAGAGTGGGGGCAGTGGTCATATCTGTGCCTTGTGGGGCCCGGGCCATGTCCCTGAGTCCTAGGCCATCAAGTATTTCCTGGGTGGGCGTGTTGAGGATGGATGAAGGGGGCGGGAGAGACTGCTACAGGGCTGCTGACCCCTTTTCCCGACCAGGTGGGGGTGCGGGGTCCCTCCCGCCTCTCCCCTCCTCTTCCCCTTTAGGCCCACGGGTGAGGAGCCATGGTACAGAAAGCATCACTTCCCACACTCACCCCAGTAGCCCTTGTGCAGGTGGGGACAGGCCGGGTTCACCAGATGTGGCCCAGGCAGGACCCTCCACTGCTGCCGTGGCGGGGACCTTCTTGAAGCTTTCATTTCTTTGAGAGACAGTGCTCTAACCTGCTGGCTCACTCCCCGGATGCTTCCAGTGACCGGGTGGGGACCCAGCTGGGAACTGGGACCTCGATCCGGGGTACCTGCTGCGGGGTGGGTGGTGTGGGTCGTGCGTGGCTTGCCTGCTAGGTCCAACAGCTGCACTGTAGTACGTGTGTGTGTGGTGGTGGGGCTGTCCCGCTGTGGGAACAGCTGGCCGAGGGGAAGCCACAGGTACCCTGCTGCCAGTCCTACTGTCTGTGGCCCCTCCCCTCCTGCCTGTGTGCAGAGCAGTGGCTTTGGCCCCGCCAACGCTTGCCATTGCTGTCGGTGCGGTCTGCTTCTGCTTCCTCTTCACTGTCCCCGGAGCAAGTGACCGCCGGCGGTGACTGGGAGCAGGCTGCAGCGCTGTCAGCACACGCGTGTAGCTTAGCAGCCCAGTTGCATGCTCCAGGACGCAGGCGAGTGGCAGGCTGTCTGTCAGGCAGAGGCCCCTGAGAAAGGGTTCCCTGGGAGGGCTGGGACTGGGCATCTCCCAGTGTCCACCTGTGGGCACTCCCGGCTCCGTGGGCTGCCGGCTGTCTGGCAGTGCCTGAGTGTGCTCCAGGAGCTGGGGGGGGACGGGCTTACTGGCGGCCAGCCTGGAAAGTGACACCTCATGTCCTCAGATCACACATTGTAACAAATGGAGGAAGCCCTCCCCCGCGTGTGATTCAGAAAGACCTTTCACATGGAATGCGCTCACATTGTAGCTAAGATCCCGGTGTGAGAGTGTCCTTCACTTCAAACGTACACACATTGTATCAAAGAAGCCACGCGCAGCCTACTTGAAAAGTTATCCGCTACTTCAACTCTGGGCACATTGTAGCCAATCAAAGCAGTGAGTGTGGGCCTGGGGAGCAAGCATCCCTCAGAGCAGCAGACCGTCTCATACCAGTAGCTTTTCAAAGAGCCGAGGCTTGGCCCTGCGCGTCGGCCAGGCTTTGCTGGAGCATGTTGCTAGCATCAACTAATTTGCTTCCTATTTCTTGTGTGCGTTTCCCAGATGTGATTTCCCATGTTTGTTAATTTCCCCACCATGGAAGGGGCAGGGTTTATCCCGGACCGCCCTCTCATCCCAGCGGCCGCTCCGTGTTACAGGTGCCCCTGTCTGCTGTGGCATTGCCTGTCCCTGTGACTTGCAGTGATGAGGCCAGCCCACGGGGGGCCCTGCCCTCCTCCCTAGGGGTCCTCTGGCCCCCCCAGCCTAACTTTTCTGCGGTCGTTTCCTCCTTAGCCCCGCCATAACGTGGAGTTTGTTCGGCTCCCACGTGTCCCCTGGCCTGCCTGGAGGCTGGTGTGCGGCGATGTTTGCTGCGACCAGGAAGTGTTTCCTGGGGAGTGGATGAGTGAATGAGCCAGTGGATGACTCTTTCCTGTCTCTCAGTTTCTGTCAGTGTGTTCTGATGCCCCGTCGAGGGCACAGACGCACGCCCCGTGTGCCTTTGGACGGTCCACACCCTGCGAGCCGCACTTGACCTGGGGAAGGTGTGGAGGTGCCCCTGAGGTCCCAGGGCAGCCGGTGGCGTGGTGCTGGCTTCATGGGCGCCCAGGGCTGCTCTCGGCCGAGATTCCCTTCTGCTCCTGCAGCTGAAGGAGGATGCCCGGGTCACACGACGTAATATTTCGGGTCGCTTTCGGTTAAAATGTTTTCATTTGCTTCCTGTACGGGCGGGCCTCGGATGCCTGCCTGCCCCTCTCCTTTCTCATCCTCCTGCCGCCTTGCCTTCCCTCCTCCCCCACCTTCACCATAGTGGTTGTGCTCACTGGAGTGCCTGCTGGTTTGCGTTTAAAATATGTGAGGAGCAGAGGGGCAGACAGAGCACCCCCATTCTCTAGGCTCACTCCCTCACACCCCATGCCTGCTGTGGAGGGGGTACCAGAAGGCCCGAACCAAATCCAGGTGTCCCGTGTGGTGGCAGGCACCTGCCAGGGCTGCCTGGGCCTGCCTGTCGTGTTGCTGTCCCTGGCCCCTGGTGGCCCCTGGGGCCGGCTCCCTCGCCGTCACAGCCCTGGGCCTTTTCACAGCCGTCGTCCTAAAGGGCTTTATTTATCCCTCTTAGTCTCGGTTTGTTTCCTCCCCTTGGCAGGGCACTTTCTCAGGTAATCACCCAGGAGATTAATTACTGCAGAATTTTCCCAAGGAAGGTGTGTCCCCGCGTGAGTGCTGGCATGCTCCGCTCAGCGAGGCCGTCGTCAGCATCTCATGAGTGAGTGAGGTTTGGCCGCTTTGAGCTGAATTCTCACCGAGAGCCTTGAGGGCATTGTCTCCGTTGTCCCTGTCTTCTTCCAGAGCTTTTGGGATTTTTTTTTCTTCCAAGATTTATGTATTTGGGCCCAGCACCATAGCCGAGTAGCTAAAGTCCTTACCTTGCACGTGCCGGGATCCCACATGAGCGCTGGTTCTAATCCCGGCAGCTCCACTTCCCATCCAGCTCCCTGCCTGTGGCCTAGGAAAGCAGTCGAGGACGGCCCAGAGCCTTGGGACCCTGCACCCGCCTGGGAGACCTGGAAGGAAGCTCCTGGCTCCTGGCTTTAGATGGGCTCAGCTCCGGCCTTAACAGCCATTTGGGAAGTTAGCCTATGGATGGAAGATCTTTCTGTATCTCTCCTCCTCTCTGTGAATCTGATCTACCTTTCCCATAAAAATCCAACACAGCAGGGCTGGGCCACACTGAAGCCAGGAAGCGGGAGCTCCGTGCGGGTCGCCCTGTGGGCGGCAGGGGCCTCAGGACCTGGGCTGTCCGCTGCTGCTCTCCCAGCTGGGTCATTTAGTGGACAGCTGGATCAGAGGCAGAGCAGCCGGGACTCGAACCCGTGCATGTCCATTACCCTTACAGGAAGCAGGCAGCGGCGTCACATCCTGCGCCACAGGGTGGGCCCCCGCTCTTGTGCCACCTTCTCCGCAGCCGAGGCTTTCTGTCGGGGAGCTGGGAGTGGCCGCGGGTGTCTCGCGCAGTCGTGGGTATCGGTGCGGTGGCGCGTGGAACACCAGGCAGGGCTTGGCACACACTGGGTGCTGTGGCAACGGGAGCTGCCAGCTGTCTTCATTGAGTCGGCTGAATCATGTCCCCGTGTCGTACCTGCGTTTAGCTCTTTAGGTCAAGATTTTTAGCTATTTGAATGATGCAGTTACAGACGGAGGGTGAGACAAAGAAGGGGAGTCTGTCTGCTCGTTCGCCCCCAGCTGGCCGCGGTGGCCGCACCTGGGATGGTCCGAGCAGCGGCTCCATCCGGGGCCTCCCGCTGGGCGCAAGGGACCCAGCACTTGGACCGTTCTCTGCTTTCCCAGCTACACGAGCAGGGGGCTGAATGGGAGGTGGAACAACTGGGGCTTGAACCTGGCCCTGACCTTTTGGCTGATTTGTTTGACTTAATGTTCTAGTCTTTCTACTGAATTTTAAAATCACACAGTCGACTCCTTTATTTGCCACTTTTGCCTCTGTGATTCGAAACCACTGTACATTGAAAAAATACATATGAAGAGATATTTATGTATTTGAAATGCTGAGTTTACAGAGAGAGGGAGAGGCAGAGATCTTTATCCACCGATTTACTCCGCAAGTAGATATAATGGCTGGGGCTGGGTTGATCTGGAGCCAGGAGCCAGGAGCTTCCTCTGGGTCTCCCACGCAGGTGCAAGGCTCAGGGACTTGGGCCATCCTCCTCTGCTTTGGTCCTGGGACCAGTGGACAGGCTCTGGGGGTGGTAAGGTGCCTCGTGGGCCCTGCGGAGGGGCCGCAGTTGGTCCTGGGACAGTGGACAGGCTCTGGGGGTGGTAAGGTGCCTCGTGGGCCCTGCGGAGGGGCCGCAGTTGGTCCTGGGATGGGCCCCGGGGCACAGTTAAATTCTGACATGTTCTGGCTGACCAAGCCAAGGATCGCTGGGTGCTGAGCACAGCACCTGGGCCACGGGTGGGGCTGGTTCCTCTGGCCTGTTCTGGGCCCTGTCACTGTCAGAGGCCAACAGTAGTGCGGGGGATGGAGGACTAGGCACGGTCACTGCTTTGATTGCTGGGAGCGGAGGCAGCTGGGGACACTGGTGGCCTCCAGCTTCCAGATGCCTGAGGCAGGGAGGGACTGGGCTGTGCCGGCTGGGGCAGTGGCAGCTGAGCTGGGTTCTGAGGAAAGGTGGGGACCAGGTCATGTGGAGGAGAGGAGAGTGTGAAGGGGCCAGTGCTGGGAGCCCAGGCTGGCTCCTACCCCACAGCTCAGCCGCTGGGTTGGTTCTGAGGCCCAGGCCAGCTGATCCCCCATGACCCCAGCCTCAAGGTTGGTCTTGGAGGGGGTTGGGCACTACTGCGACCTTTGCTTGCTAAGTTAGTTTGGGTGGTTAGGGCGTGCCAGGGTGACGTTTGAGTCTTTGTTTTTGTTTACTTAAAGATTTATTTGCTTTTTAAAGATTTATTTTTATTGGAAAGATATACAGAGAGGCGAGACAAAGAGGAAGATCTTCTGTTTGTTGATTCACTTCCCAATGGCCAGAGCTGCACCGATCCGAAGCCAGGCGCCTGGAACCTCTTCCGGGTCTCCCATGCGGGTGCAGGGTCCCAAGGCTTTGGACTGTCCTGGGCTGCTTTCCCAGGCCACAAGCAGGATGGGAAGCAGGGCCACCAGGATTAGAACCAGCACCCATATGATCCCGCCGCATGCAAGGCAAGGACTTTAGTCACTAGGCTACCTTGCTGGACCTATTTATTTATTTGAAAGGCAGAGTGCCACAGAAAGGAAGAGGTTCATCTCCCAGCTGACCACAGCGGCTGGGGCCGGGCCGGGCCAGGAGCAGATGCCAGCTGCAGCTCTGGCAGGTGGAGGAAGCCAGCCCCAACAAACAGGGCACGGCCCCATGTCCTCACTGGGACGGGCAGGGCAGGGCTGCCCGGGGCTGGTGAAGGGCAGCAGGGGTGATGGGGTGGAGCAGTTCCGCTCTTGGAGAACCGTGTAGCCTGGACCTGGTCCTGGCTGTGTCCTGTCCCACTGCCCCTGGGACTCGTGCATTAACCATGGGCCCTGTATGTGTCGGTCAGGGCAGGCAGGGTCTTTCCTGTCCCCGGTGGGGGTCGTGGCCTCTACTGAGCCTGGCGGGGGTGGGGGGAGCGGCAGGGCTTTGCTCTTCCCTCTCTGATGGGCCCCGCGACAGCGGCCTTACAGGCCTGGGCTTTGCCAGCTTGCTGCTGCTCCCTACCTGTTGGCTATGAGCCTGCGTTCCCTGCCCGCGAGCCTGGGGCCTAGCATCCAGACCTGACCCCCGCCTCGTGCCTGCTGCTTTGAGGTGCTGTGGATTGGGTGGCTTTCAGGCGTGGTGCAGTGCCCGGCGGACCCAGGGCTGCTGACGGAGGCAGTGGAGGGGACGGGCCGCGTGCTGCCGGCGGTCGGGCAGGCCTCGAAGTGGCCAGGAAGCTGACGATGTGTTTCCCTTTCCTCGCAGTGTGCAAGGAGCCCCCGTACAAGGTGGAGGAGTCGGGCTATGCCGGCTTCATCATGCCCATCGAGGTGCACTTCAGGAACAAGGTAGGCGCCCGTGGGAGAGGGCTGGCGCCAGGGGGCCTGAGCGGTGTCAGCGGCGCCTCGTGGCGTGGGCAGGCCCGGGATGGCCCGGGCCCCTAGAGCAGCCTCCTGGGCTGGCTGTGTCTGCCGAGTGTGAGGAGGGCTGAGCGGTGCTGGTAGAGGCAGGTGCGAACACGGAGTCATGGGTGAGTGTGTTTGCTCTGTGCACATGGCCTGAGTGTGAACCTGCTGGACACCCTTTCTGAGCACCGCGTTCTGACTGGGGGCCTGTGCCCATTTACGCCGAGCTGCCACAGCCTCTTGAAGGGCCTCATGCCCATCAGAAATGTTCACCAGGCCCATTGGGATTGGGGGACGTTTACGTGTGGGGGTGTCTTATTTTCCTCCATCAGTAGTTGCTAAGGGTTTTTTTGTTCTAATGTTGGAAGTGAAAAAACCAGCTACCTGGCTCGTGGGCGCCCCCAAGGGGCCGGCGGTGGTGTGTGCAGGCTCAGGCTGGTATGGCTGTGGGTACCTGGTCATGGTCTTCAGGAAGGTGTGCCCTGCTCACTGTAGTGGTTTCTGCCGTCCAGCTGGCCCTCGGGACCCCGGGCTGACAGTCAGAGGCTGTCACCCTCTCTCCGGGAAGCGAGTGCATGTCATCCTGTGTGATCCAGTCAGCTTTTTGCTACTGGGTCTCCCTGGGTGGGAGACCTGGCTGCTTGTGAGATGTGTGGGGTGGGGACACCCCATGTGCCTGCATGGGTGATGAGTCACCCTCAGAAGCAGGGGTGCCTCTGAGGGACCCCCGTGGGATAAGGTCCGGGGCAGGTGTGCAGGTGGCTCCACACGCAGCCTCTGGGGAGCATGTGAAACAGGAGGCCAGCAGGTGCATCTCTGCAGGGCCATGCGAGTCCACTGGGGAAGGTGGTCCACAGCACCGGGTGCTGGCAATCTGCAGGTGCTGGTGGGCGGGCTGGGGCTGCACACACCCAGGGAAGGGAGCAACACATAGGGCACCTGCACTGCCCCACGGGATCTCCAGGGCAGTGACCTCACATAACAGCCATGTCACTGTGGCAGGTGTAGAGATGGGCACCCTTCCTCCTGGCCACGGCATCCCTGCTGACCTGCAGATTGCCTGCAGGGGTGAGAGGAGTCCCAGGCGCTGGGCTGGCCTCCCACCTCTGGCTTCCAACTCCAGCCACCAGCTGTCACACGCCCTGGGAGCCAGTGTTGTTGAGTGGCTGTCTCGCACGTGGGAGTCTGGCATTATTTTTCCAGCTTCCAGCGTTTGCCCTGCCCCATCCTGGCTGTGACAGGCATCCCGGGAGTCGACCTGCAGATAGGATCTTTCTGTCCTAGAAGAGGACAGTGGATCTCCGTGCTTAGCCCCAGCCAGGCTCCCCTCGCGGGGCTATCCTGCTGGGGCTCCCTTGCTTCCGGTCGGCGTATACCCTGGGAAGCAGCAGGTGGGTCAGGAAGTTGGGAGACTTGGGTGGAGTTCCGGGCTCCTGGCTTTGACGTGCTCCAGCCCTGGCTGCTGCAGGCACTCAGAGGGGGACCAGTTCGGAGAGCTGTTGCGCCCTCTCTCTCTACCAGCACGGCTGGCTGCTTGCCCTCAGCTGGCTCTGCACCAGCCACTGTGGCTGCCTTCACCCCCAGAACTATAGGGGTCAAGGGAGGGGATCCCCCGCTCATCCCCATAGGCTCCTGCCTCGTTTCCTTCACACAGGCCTGGAGGAAGGTGGTCACTGCCCACTGCGAGCAGGAACTGTGGGCGCCGAGTCGTTCAGTGGGGCGGGCAGCAGCAGCGATGTGTCAACTGCCACCTGTCACCGACGTGGCTGACACCCGGCCCGCCGAGGGGCAGTTGTGGACGGGTGGTGGGCTGTGCTTACATCCAGTGAGGAAAGTGGTGCAGCTTCATGGCCCGTGTTCTGCCAGCGTTGTCGGAGTGCAAAGTTTTATAAAGACCAGACGGGCCTGCTCGGGGCTGGAGTTGGGCGAGATGCAAGCGAGCGGGTGGGCGGCAGCTGGGCCCATCTGCCTCGGGCAGCTCACATGTCCTGCTGCCCGGGGCGTGGCTGGCAGGACTGGTGGCAGCTTGGGAGTAAGGCGGAAGGAGGAGGTGGATCTGCTGTTTGCGGACACACGGACAGTGGTTTTCCAGCTGTTGGCGTCTGTGATAGGGCACGGTGTATGTGTGTGTGTTTGGGTCACTGCTGTCCCCTCTTGGGCGCTTAGAGGGGGCATTGCCAGGCCATGTGGTGGTTTTGCAGTCCACTTGCTGAGTCCACCTGTCCCAGGGGAGCCCACCTTGCACCTCCCCTCCCCCCCGCAGTGTGCGGGGGACCCCAGAGACCCGGCCTGCTCTTCCTGGTGGGGGCATGGCACCTCTGGGCATCTGGATTGCATTTCTCTCCGGATTAGCTGCTCAACGTCTTGTGTGTGGTGGCTATTTGTTCTTGGGAGAATTTTCTGGATAGATCTTTTGCCTGTGTTGGTCTTGTGCTGTAGTTCTGGTCCGTTCTGAAAAATCACCCAGGTTGGATTTCTCCCCGGCAGTCTTGATCTGTTTGACAGAGACAAAACTTCCATTCGCTGGGTCACTCCCCAAGTGCCTGCTGCAGCTGGGGCTGGGCCGGGCCGAGGTCAGGAGCTCCATCGGGGTCACTCCCCAAGCGCCTGCTGCAGCTGGGGCTGGGCTGGGCTGAGGTCAGGAGCTCCATCGGGGTCACTCCCCAAGTGCCTGCTGCAGCTGGGGCTGGGCCGGGCCAAGGTCAGGAGCTCCATCGGGGTCTCATTTTCAGGGACAGAAACCTTCAGCTCCTGGGACACTGGCTGCTGTCTCTCAGCACGTCAGCAGGGAGTGATGTTGAAGAAAAGTAGCCAGGACTGGGAACGGGCACTCTGATGTGAGGTCCGGGTGTCCCAGGTGGCGGCCTAACGCGCCACGCCACAGCACCTGCCTCTCCTCTTCCTGCTCAGATGAGGACACGGGGAGGCCTTCCTGTGTCGTGGGAGCAGCGGGCCTGGGGCTCCTGGAGTCGCTGCCTGGCCTGGGCACGCTGTGTGTGCTGTACGGCCGAGGGCGTGTCAGCCGTGGAGGGGAGGCCCTCCCACCAGGAAACACCAATTGCTTTCTTCCCATGGCGTTCCTGACTGCCCAGCTTCCTTGAGATGTTCCTGGAAGGACAACGATTGGGCGACAATGACATGTGCCCTGCAGCTGTGGCACAGTGCTCCCTGTGAGTGGGGTGGCTTGTGCCTGCCACTCATGCCTGGGCCATGCCTGGGCTCTGCCTGGCAGGAACTGTGGGATCAGACAGCCTTTGATAGCACAAATTGGGGTGCTCTCTTCCCTTGCCTGGTCCGCTGGTGCGTGGTGGTGTCACGGCTCCCTGTGCCACGTCCACTGATGCGTGGTGGTGTCACGGCTCCCTGTGCCTGGTCCGCTGGTGCGTGGTGGTGTCACGGCCCCCTGTGCCTGGTCCGCTGGTGCGTGGTGGTGTCACGGCCCCCTGTGCCACGGCGGCAGTGGTCTCTCCCAGAGCTGGCTGTAGTGATGGGCAGGAAGTTAGGGGCTGCCCCCGCCCTCCTCCATTTGCTCTGGGAATGTAGCCCAGGCCCTCAGCTGTGGGGTGTAAGGCCTCTCCTGCCCCACACATCTCCCCGTGTACCTGGCACCTGCCCCTGTGCCTTTGTGAGTATGTTTGCACAGGACAGAAGTCAGCCCTTCTTGGAGGGAGTCAGGCTGCGGACCTAGGTATACCCCGAGTGTGTGTGAGACAGAGTGGGTGTGGTGAGGTGTATGAGTGAGTGTGAAAGCCAGGACCTGAACGTGTGCGTTCATTGTGGGTTTGTGAATGTTGGTGTGTGAGTGTTAGAATCTGTGTATTTGTGAGAGCCGCGAGCATGCCCTTACTGTGGAAGACCCGAGGCAGAGGAGGGCAGTACCCCAACCCCTGCCCCCTGCCCCCACTCCAGCTCGCCCATCCCTCTGCTCTTGATGGCTGCCTCCCATATGTTGGCACGCCTGGGGACAAGCTTAGCTCTACTTCCAATCACTTCCTTCTAGCGTGCATCCTCGCTAGATGCAGATGACGGCTCAAGTCCTTGGGTTGCTGCGACTCACGTGGGAAACCAGGACAGAGGTGCAGGCTCCTGCCTTCTGCCTGGCTGGAGCGTGGCTGCTGTGGGCAGGGGCCAACAGAAGCCAGGAGCCCGGAATGCCATTTTGGTCTCCCATGCAGGTTGCAACAGCCCAAGTGTTTGGGCCATCATCCACTACCTTGCCAGGCACACAGCAGGGAGCTAGGAGCCTTTATGACCTTTCACCTGAGGGGTGCGGGCAGGAATGCCCCAGCCTGGCACAAAGCCAGGCCTGAGGCTGGAGCGTGGCTGCGGCTTGGGCACCAGCACCCGCTGGACCAGTTCTGCCACATCTGGGCTGCTGAGGAGGGACAGCCGCTGGCTTGGCGTGGATGCCTGTGGCCTGGGGGTGGGGGCTGCTTGTGGCGTGGCCATTGTGTGCCAAGGGGCTGGAGTCTGCCTCTCTAGGCACCACGCTCCCAGGCCAGGGTCCCAGCCTCCTCAGCCTCGCAGTTTCTTCTGGCGCTGCAGGAGAGGCCTCTGCCTGACCCACAGCCACTGCCTCCCCCTGTTCCCATCCTGTTTCCTTCTGGGTGTCGGGCAGGACTGTGTCTCCCCTGGCGACCATTGCCCCTCCAAGATGCAGGGTTTCCACCCAGACTGGTACAGAGATCCCAGGAACTTCCTGTGGGGCTCAGCCAGGAGCCTGGCGGGAGGGCCCACAGCAGCACAGCCACGGGGCCATCCTGAGCTCCCACTGGGTTGGGCTGCTTGCTGCGAGCGCCCCGGAGGGTCAGCGGGGCTCTCTGTGCGCCAGGCCACTTGGGACCAGGCAGCAGCAGGCTGGGGCCGGGCCGCCACGCCAGGAGAGCTGGCCACTGAGACCGGCGCTGAGGCTGGAGGTCGCGATGGGTGGTCGGGGGTGGGGGTCTTCAGCTTCTGCTGGTTCTTCAGCGAGGCAGGAGATGGAGCAAGACTCCCCCAGCGGAGCCCTGAGCCAGAGCCGGAGCGCCCCCGCAGGCTGTGCGGGAGGAGGAAGCCGGGCAGCCCCGCCTCCGTCTGCTTGCGCCCAGCCGCTCCCCGCCAGGCGCCCCTCCTCAAGGGTCCCAGGGCCCCTCAGAGAACACAGGCTTGTTGTTTGTGGCAGTCAGCACCCAGCATGGAGGTGCGAGCTACACATCATGACTCAGGGGTCTGTCTCCCAGGTTGCCCTGAAGCCCCATGAGCACCCAGCGCCCGCTCTTCACCCTCCTTGTTTGTGGCCTGTCTGTTGGTGGGTACCCGAGAGCACGCCCATGTCCATGGTGGTGATGGAGCAGATGACCCGGGGGGTGTAGCAGTGCCGTCCTGCTGTATCCACGGGGGTGGACCTGCCCCCGTCCCCTTCTCCGTGTTTGCCTGGAGGTGGAATGAGGGCTGCTCCACTTGCTCTCGGCAGTTCTGAGGCCTAGGCCCGGCCCACCGCCTCCACTGGACACAGCCTGGTGTGGAGACCAAGCCCTTTCTCGTGTGCTGCTCCGCCCACCCTCCAAGCAGGTTCCACGCTGAGCAGGGACACAGGGACACAGGGACACAGTGCCCTGCAAGGCAGCTGCCCCCTCGGGTCATGCCCAGAGCGCCCAGCCCCCAGCTAATTCTGTCTGCTTGGGCAGTGGGGAGGCGGCGTGCAGGTGCAGGTGAGGGGTCCTCAGGCCGGTGGAACGAACCCCCTTCTCCCCCCAGGGAGGAGGGATGTGGAGCAGAGATGCTGTGCGTTGGCAGTTCAGGGTGTATCATGCAGAGTGATGGAGGACAGAGGGCTGGGCAAAGCTGTGTCCCTCAGGGCTGCATCCAGCCGCCTGTGCCCACGTGGGCTGGCTGATTTCTCTGTTTTTTTTTTTTAAAGATTTATTTTTATTATTTTTTCATTGGAAAGGCAGATATACAGAGAGGAGAGACAGAGAGGAAGATCTTCCGTCCGATGATTCACTCCCCAAGTGAGCGCAACGGCCGATGCTATGCCGATCCGAAGCCAGGAGCCTCTTCCGGGTCTCCCACGCGGGTGCAGGTTCCCAAAGCTTTGGGCCGTCCTCGACTGCTTTCCCAGGCCACAGGCAGGGAGCTGGAAGGGAAGCGGGGCTGCCGGGATTAGAACCGGCGCCCATATGGGATCCCGGGCGTGCGAGGCGAGGACCTTTAACCACTTGCGCCACCGCGCCGGGCCCGATTTCTCTGTTTTAAGATGGATTTTAATTTGAAAGTCAGCTACAGAGAGGAGAGAGGTCTTCTATCCACTGGCTCACTTCCATGTGTGCACAGCAACCCAGGGCTGAAGCTGCGAGTCAGGAATCCCCCTAGGCCCCCACATGGGTGGCCGGAACTCTAGTACCCCGCCCCACCCCTTACCCCCCAGGACACAGAGTGAACTCGGGAGCCAGGCTGGGGACCAGGCCCAGGCAGGACATTGTGGATGCATGCCTCCCAGGCGGTGGCTTAGCTTCATGGCACTGGCCTGCCCCGTGCTCACCAGGCCCCTAAAAGGAAGGACACCCCATTGGCTGTCCCTTCCTGCTGTAACCCCAGGCCCTGTCCCCGTGGACGTTCCCACTGTGTCTGGGTAATGTGTGCATGGGCCGGGCTGTCTTCAGGCTTTCTCAGGCTGCACAAATAGGACGCCAATATTGCAGCTGGGAACTTGACCTGCTATGCCGTAATGCTGGCCCCGGCCTGTTCTTCATGCCAGCCACGGCCTAGGAAATCCTCATTCCCTCTTCCACAAACATCCTGTGCCTGCCCCGAGCTGATGTGCGGGGCCTTGTGTTACGGTGCCTGTGACCACTCCAGTCCTGTCCTGTTGTGTGGCAGGGGACTCCGTGCAGGGACTTCAGACATTGGGGTTGGGTCTTGGCCGCTTGTCTGGGATCCTCAGTTTCCCCTTTTGGCTGTGGCGGCTGTGGGGCTGCAGGAGCCTTGCAGGCCCCGGACAGGAACGCCACCCGTGGACCTGTAGGGACGCTGCTGGCCACGCTGATATCTGTGGGGACAGCCACTGCAAGGGCCGCCCTCTGACCCTGAGCCAGCTCGCTTGTTTTCCTGGTTGCAGGAGGAGCCCCGGAAGGTCTGCTTCACCTACGACCTGTTCCTGAACCCGGAGGGCAACCCGCCCGTGAACCACCTGCGCTGTGAGAAACTCACCTTCAACAACCCCACCACCGAGTTCCGCTACAAGCTGCTCATGGCCGGAGGGGTGAGTGCCCCCTGTGCTGGGCATCAGCCCAGCCCCGTCCCTGCTGGCCTGGGAGGCAGGTGGCTGGGGGCCCGGGGGACCTGTGACCCCAGCAGGCTCTCCAGGCAGGGCTGAGAGACGCAGTGCAGGCTTGCAGCCGGGGTGCCGCTGCCGGGTCTTTGAGCGTGGGCGGGGTGTGCACCGTGCGTGGCGTGGGGGAGGCAGGGGCGTCGGGCGCCGTGTGCTCAGGCAGTCGCCATTGCCTCTTCGTTCCTCTCTTGGGAACCTTGTTTCCATCCACCCGAGGATCCTACTCGCTGGTGGCAGCAAGCTGAGCATGTGCTGCCGTGTCCCTCTGCCAGGCTTCTTGCGTGGCTCCAATCTGGACCAGGGAGGCTAGGGAGTGGTGTGTGGGGTGCTGTATGCGGCGTTGAGGGAGCCCCCTTCCCGGCTCTGCTCTGCTCCCGCTTTGCGTGGCCACGCGTCTGTGTTTCCACACGGTGTTTCTGGGCGTCCCCCCATGCCCACCCCCAGCCTGTCCACAGGCTTCCTTGTCGCGTCCCTGGGGAGCAGCTGCGTCCCCGGGCCTCCCTGAGCTCCGGGTGGGTGGCGGTTTCCTTTGCTCTGCCGAGATGAAGGCTGTGAGGAGGGCGTCGTCTAAACACATAAAACCCGGGGTGGGGAGGAGGCAGCGCGTGAGGGGAGGGCAGATCCGGCTCCGTAGGAAGGGCCGACGCAGCAGGGCAGCTGCCAGCTGGCCGCCAGGGCTGCCCCGGGAGCAGGTGACTGCTCCAGAACCTGCCGGGGCCTTCGTGGGACTGTGGCTCCGTCCGGGAGATGCCCTGACCAGGCCGCTGTGCCCCGATATCTGAGCGGCACGGGCCGGCGGCAGGCTGTACTGGGAGGGCTGGAGGAAGAGCTGAGCCGGCCACAGTGGAGAGCAGCCGTGCGTCCTGCCCCTGGCTGGGGGTCTCCTGGGGGTCGGGGCGGTGGTTCCTGCAGTGGGAACAGCACAGCCTGCGTTACCCTTGCTCTTCTTGCCTTGCGCTGAGGGTCTGTCGCTGGGGAAACTGCGCTTTGCCGAGGGAGCGTCAGGCCGGGGTGGAGCTGGAGAGGGACCAGCTGTGTGCCAAGGACAGTAGGAGGGGCCTGGGGCAAGCCAGCCATGCCTCCTGGGGGCATCAGGCCAAGGCAAGGTCTGGGGCAGTTGCATCTGGGGTATACCACCCTTGCCCAGAGCCGGGCCCTGCTGCCTCTTTGAGCCCCACGTCCTGGGACTGTGCCATGTCAGTGACCCCAGACAGAGGGCCTGGCTCAGCCCAGAGTGCCAGGCGCCTGCGGCTCCTGGATGACACTGCCCTCTGGAAGCCTTCGGCTCACCCCGCCATCCTCACCTCACCCTGCTCAACACAGCAGGTGTCTTGGGAGTCCCACGGGAGCCGGGCAGGCGTGTCCACGAGCTCTTCTTTTCGGACCCCAGGCCCTTGCTCGTCACCCTGCGGCTTCCTTGCTCTGGCAGCTTGGACAGGAGTGGGCGGGAATGGGCAGGCCCGCCCGCACAGGTCTTCTCTTGCTGGCGCCCCGTCAGCTTCGGCTGCCAGCCAGGGGAGGAGGAGACACGTGGGACCTGCCAGGGCGGCTTCTGCCCAGCCCCTCCTGCTGACCCCTCCTCTCCCTAGCCGGGCTTGGTCGCCACGCTTCCTCACGCTTCCTGGCGCACTCCCACCACGCGCCTGTCGTCTTGGCCACTGAGCCCCCTCGCCCTGAGGCCACGCCGCTCCCCCGCTCCCCCGGGCCCAGCCATCCTGGGACCCTGGCTTCTCTTGGCTCCCCACCACAGAGCCGCTGCACCTGCTCCCCGCTGGAGGCGAGCGATGGCCAGGCCCCACCCCGCGGCCCCCGCCCGCCCTGGTAACGTCTGTCTCTTCTTTGTCACTAGGTGATGGTAATTCCCGAAGGAGCAGAGTCGGTGTCCAGGCCCAGCCCCGACTACCCCATGTTACCCACAATTCCACTCTCTGCCTTCTCTGACCCCAAGAAGACCAAACCGTCCCACGGCTGCAAGGTTAGTGAGGCAGAAGGCCCAACCCCGGCCTGGCCAGGTTTCCTCCCACTGCCACGTGGGCCTTCTGCACCCGCACTCGCTCCGTGGCGGCTTCCTCCTCAAGCGCTCTGCGCCCTGCCACTCCATGCCGCTTCCTTAGGGTGCCAAGCGTAGGCCAGGTGGTCCAGGGGCCTCATCCCATTTGTCTTGAGGCCAGAGACCCTCCATGTGAAGCCCACACAGGTCTGGACCCCTTTCCTCCACGCCCCTCCTGCAGCCCCTGCCCCCACAGTGGCTTCGGGCTATTTGCATCTTGGGCTGTACTCCAGCCGCCCGCGTCTTGGAGCCCACAGCCTGGACTGGGCCTACCCTGGGCCGTTCCAGACTTTGCTTCTCTGGCAGTGGCTGCCACAGAGGGAGGGGGCTTCCTGTGCAGGGCCAAAGCCATGGCCAGTGTGCGGAGAGCTGAAACGCTGTGTCCTCTCGCCTCGCCCAGGCTGGGGGCGCCCTGGGCCGTTCGGAGGCCTCTCTGGCTGGACCGTCCCAGCACCTGCCTGAGGGCAGACCTTGGATTGAGACTGCGGGCCGTGGCGTCGTGCACACAGACTCTCACACGCCTTCACCCTCTGCGCAGCTCTGCGCAGTCACCGCTCGTCTTGTTGCACTTGTGAGGCCGAGGGTCTGTCCTCCGCTCGCATCTGTCTGCTCCTTCTCTCGCCTGTGGGCCTCGCAGGCAGGGCTGGCGAGCAGGTCTCGGGCCACCCCCGTCTGGGTCTTGGGGCTGGAGCAGGGCTTCCTGTGCTGGGCTCTTGGCTGCCCTGCGGAGGGGAGGTCAGAGGACTTCCTGTGGGGGCCCTCGCTGCCTCACTGCCCCCCAGGGCTCTTTGGAAATCTGCTTGGGGCAGGGAGAGGAGGGCCCGGCTGCCGCTTGTGGGTCAGTCCTTGTCGCCTGGTCACCACTGGAGCCATGCGCCGTGATGGGGGTGGGTACCCCGGGTGTCTCTTGATCCTTCTGGGAGCCCCCAAGCCAGCCTAGCTCCCCCTGCCACACTCCCGGGAACCCTCTGGCCAGTATCGGGTCCTGTGGCCGGCCTCGCCATCTGCTCCCCGAGGCCCTGTCTGTGGCGCCGTCCTGGCATTGCGCCCGCGAGCCGCTTCTCCCCCAGCTGCAACTCTCGCTCCAGACTGTGCCGTTGCTTCTCTGCCGTCAGCCCTCCCCCGGGCCAGGGCAGCCACAGGAGGATGGCTGTGCCTGCCTGTAGCCCGTGCCTCCAGTGGCAGGGCCGGCAGGGCATACAGCCTGCAGGGGCAGGAGTGGAGGCCCTGTCTGTGCTGTGCCCCAAGGGCCACGTAGAGGGCTCCCTGGGCGCTGTCTCATGTTGGTCCACTGACCGCTGCTCTCTCTCTCTCTGCACCTCCATTCCTCACTGTTCTGGGGTTTGTGGGCGACATTGAGATGGAGACTTGGTGGGCCCTCACCGCAACTTGACATTGTGAGTGAGATTCGGGGAGCTGGCGCCTGCGTGCCTCCAGGAGGGGCTGCTGTCACCTGGGGCAGCCCCTGCTTCCCACCCGCCTCCCCCTTGCCCTTCCTTCAGGGAAGCCGGCCCCCGGGGCTGGGACGGGAAGGTGCGGCCTGAGCCTTCATACAGCAGAGCGTGGCACCAACTGCTCAGTATTGGAGCTGGGAGCAAGGCCGTGTGGCTCCTCGGAGGCTGGGTGAGGGCCCCAGGAGGAGGTGCTGCTAGTGGGGTGCCCACAGGGAGGACAACGATCCCACCGCAGGGAGCCCCAACCAGGCGTGCATGGGGCCAGTGTGCAGGGGGGCAGGCAAGGAGGACAGGAGTGACGAGAGAAGCTCAGGGCACCACGAAGGCTGCTGACCCTCAGGGCTGGGTGCTCGCCCTCTCCCCTGGGGGCAGGGAAGGGCACCCCTCATTCAGGGGGGCGCTGGTGGTTGTGGAAGGTGGGGATGCCACCCTGAGCCCCGAGTGCCCCGCTTGCCTCCGGGGACCTGCCCCACCGACTCCTCCTCAGTGAAGGCTGACTGCCGGCTCAGGTGCTCAGCTGGGCGGGGCAGCCCCGGGAGGCCAGGCTTGTGTGGTGTGCTGTGCCTCGGGGTCTCTTTGTACCTCAGAGGGGTCACGCAGCTACGCCACCTCGTAGTCTGAAGGGACAGCCGCGCGTGAAGCTCTAACCTGCCCCCTGGCTCTTCCGCCGCCCGGGAAGCAGGACTCCGCGTGGTAGTGGGCACAGGGCAGCCCGGGATGTGTGTGTGTGACCCTCCCTGCCTCGGCATTCCCCACCCTCCGACAGGACGCCAACAAGGAGAGCAGCAGCAAGCCCCCCAAGCCGCACAAGGTGACCAAGGAGCACCGAGAGCGAACGCGCAAGGACTCGGAGAGCAAGGGCTCCTCCAAGGAGCTGGAGCGCGAGCAGGCCAAGGGCGCCAAGGACGCGGCGCGCAAGCTGGCCGAGGGCCGGCTGCCCAAGGAGGAGAAGGCACCGCCGCCCAAGGCCGCCTTCAAGGAGCCCAAGCTGGAGAGCCTGTCTCCCAAGGGGGGCGCCCCGCCGCCGGCACCGCCCAAGGCCTCCAGCAAGCGGCCGGCCGCCGCGGACTCGCCCAAGCCCAGCGCCAAGAAGCCCAAGAAGAACAGCTCCAAGGGGGCCCGCAGCGCCCCGGGCACCTCGCCCCGCACCTCATCTTCCTCCTTCCCGGACAAGAAGCCGGCCAAGGACAGAAGCAGCAGCAAGGGGGACCGAGGCAAGACCGAGGGCGAGTCCAGGGAGTCCCGGAAGGCGCTGGAGGTGGGCGAGTCTAACTCCGAGGACGAGGCTTCCTACAAGTCCGAGGTGAGTGGGGCCCAGCTCGCTCTCAGCTCTGGGAAGTGGACTCGGGGTTCAGTGTCCCCGTGTGAGGCCAGGGTCTGCGTCCCCCGTGAGCCCCATGGTCGGCTGCAGGAGCTTATGCCCTCTGCCAGTGGGGCACCCCACCAGGCAGCCCACCGCTCTGCTCCCCAGGGCATGAGCATGGCTACTGAGCTGCACACTGGGGAGACGTGGGATTTCCACGTTGGCCTGCCCCTGTGGGGACCCCAGTGTCCCCCACCAGAGGACACGGACCATAGGAGCAACAGCTGCGCCTCCCAGGAGGGGCTGACCGGGGGCAGCAGGATCTGCCCTGGCCTTGGTGTCAACGCCCCCGGGTGTGAACAAACCCAAACTGCCACAGAGGGGAGCATGACCCCCAGGTTGGCTGGGTGCGGCTCCTGGGGTGCCTCTTGGCAGGGACAGTACCGGCGGGGGCTAGTTGGGGCTGGGGTGACCCTGTATCCTACCACCACCCCTGGCTCTAGACACACGTAGGCTGCTGTGGCCCAGCACCCAGCACTTACCCCAGTTAGCAATGGCGGAAGATGAGCCACCTCCCCTGAGGCTGGGTGGGGTTGCATTGGCCATAGGCCCCACCCTGTCCAGCTGCCCCAGGTTCCTGCACTGGGCTGTCTTCTGGGGAGTTCATGCAGGGCACTGGGGTGCCGGCATGCAGGGTTAGGGCTGGTGTCCAGCCCAGGGTTCCCTGTGGGCACTGCAGCCACTGCAGTTGGAGCCCGTGCCCTGCCCTCCCCCACGTTGAGAGGCTGCTTCGGGCCCTGAGCTGGCTGCCCTGTCTGCTCTGCCCATCTCCTGGAGCACCAGCCTCCTGGATGCGTTTCCTGCCCGCCCCAGGCCACATGGGAGGACCCAGAGCTGGCCTCTGCCAGTGCACAGGAGCTGGGTGGCCTCCAGGCCCCAGGTGTGATGGCACGTTCCACTAGGTGGTGGTGCCGAGCCGACTCGGCTGCTGCCCACAACTATGGGGTCACGTGTGTGGGGGGAGGTTGGCAGAGCTCTCTGAAGTCCCCCAACAGCAGTAAGCCATGCAGCTCCCTCAGAGATGGGAAAGTTGAAGCTTACAAGTGGGGACTGCGTGAGCCGGTTGGTGAAGCCATGTTCAAACAGGGCTGCTGAGGCAGGAGTCAGCCTGTGTCTGGGAGAGGGCAGGCAGGTGGGCTGGTGGGGCTTTGGCAAGCTGTGTCTGCAGCGGCTGGGTGGGAAGAGAGGCCCCTTCCCCCAAAGGTACCCCATTTGCCCTCTGTGGGGTGCGACAGGCGAGGGGCTTTGAGCCTGCAGGAACAGGCTATATTCTGTGTCCCCAGGGAGGCTGCTGGGCAGCCCGGCCCTCCAGCCCCGTCTTGGGGCCCTGGGGCCTGAGTGCACACACACGTCCTCATGCCGGCACTCCTAGTACTTCTTGCCCCTTCAGTTTGTCCCGCTTGTTGTACCTTTGGCCCCTGGCGGCCACATGGCGGTGGGCAACTGGCAGGGCACAGTGCCTGGCTCACTGGCGTTGGTCCTGGTGCCCTGCGCATACATACAGACACTTGCACCCATAGGACACTCAGGCACACAGGCATGCACCGGCCCAGCCCTCCCGTTGCAGCCTGCATCTCCCTCCGGGTTTGGGGTGAGGGTGCCCGGGGCGGTCTTTGCCGTGCCGTCCCCAGGGGGGACAGCCAGGTGCCTGTACCAGTGCCAGTGGCCTGAGATGTGCTGCTTCTCCCCCTCCCCCGGCTGCCCCACGGGGTGCAGTCCGCTGCGTCCAGCCCATCCAACTCCAGCTCCAGCTCCGACTCCAGCTCCGACTCGGATTTCGAGCCGTCTCAGAACCACAGCCAAGGTGCGTCCCAGGGAGGGGGTGGCCTCGGGGGCCCGGGGTCCGTCAGGGGCAGGGGGACAGCCCTGTGTGTTCCCAGGCTCCTCCCAGTGGCCGTGGGGGGCGGGCCACCTGGAGTGGAGGACTGGGAGAATGACCTGGGACCCCCAGCACCCTCCCCCAACCCAGACCCAGACCCTGGGCTGGGGGATGGGACCCTGGAAGCCCACACTCTCGCCAAGGGCTCTTATCTGCTGAGAAGGGAGGGAACCTGCTAGAGCCAGACCATGTGACCAAGGTAATTGAGGGCTTTGTGTCCCTCCGTTGCCTTGGTAACCGGGATATAAACCAAGATGCCATCTGTAGGGGACTGGAACCGGGCGCCTCAGGAGAAAGGGGAGGACAGTGGGCTGGGGGCGGCTGAGGGGCAGCTGGGGGCAGACACCCCGAGCCCAGCAGAGCGTCCCAGCCTGGCTGTGGTGTCCGCGCCCTCCCCGCCAAGGGGGAGCCCTGATCCCCGCACCTTGGGAATGGAGGGCCCTGGGGCCTGTGGGCAGCCCCAGGAAGGTAGGGGGCAGTGACGGGGCCCCTCGGGGTGGCGGGGGTGGCAGGGGAAGGCGCTGAGCCTGTTCGCCCTTGTCACTTCGCCCCTCCAGGCCCCCTGCGCTCCATGGTGGAGGACTTGCAGTCCGAGGAGTCGGACGAAGACGACTCGTCATCAGGAGAGGAGGCCACCGTCAAGACCAACCCTGGGCGGGACTCCAGGTGACCGCACGGTGGGGCCAGGACTGGGGGTGGGGGTGGGCAGCCCCCCACAAGCCCCTCTGTCTTGGTACTCCCAGTCCCTGCAGCCCCTCTGAGTTGGGAGTGGCTGTCAGCTGGGGGGAGGGGGTCTGGGAGAAAACCCTGAGCAGGTGCTGCTGGGACACCTCCCTCCTCCCTCCCTCCCTGGCTTGCTCTGGGGCAGCCCGCTGCCACCTGCTGGGAGGGGAGTGACGTGGGTGGCAGTGCCACCTGGGTGACCAGGGCAGCCGGAGCCAGGCCTGGGGAGAGGGCGCGGGAGGGAGTGGAGAAGTTCTAGGAAACAGCCTTCGTGGGTGGGGGGTGAGCTGGACGCCGGGGAGGGGGCACAGGATCAGGCAGGGATTCTGCGGCCAGGGACTGAGGGGATTCAGCCTGCCCGGTCCCCTGCAGCCAGGAGCCCGGGGCCGCTAGCGTGTCCTTAGGCAGGGGACAGGCCTGGCCGGCTGCCTGCATACCTCAGTGATGGATTGTGCCAAGGCAGCTTCCGTTGTCCCAGACACCCCCGGGCCAGAGCCAGGGCTCGGTGCTCTTGGGTCCCATGGCTGGTGGGGGCTGACCGCCACGTGTCTGCAGGTTGAGCTTCAGCGATAGCGAGAGCGACAACAGCGCTGACTCCTGCCTGCCTGGCCGCGAGCCCCCGCCCCCCCAGAAGCCCCCGCCCGCAAACAGCAAGGTGAGCTTGGCGGGAGGGCCGGCCCTGGGGCCTGGGAGGCCAGCGCAGGTGCTGAGCCGAGGCCTGGCTTGTGGGTTCCTGCAGGCACCAGGCCGACGGAGCCCAGAGCCCTGTAGCAAGCCGGAAAAGATTCTCAAGAAAGGCGGCTACGACAAGGTGGGCGCTGGGGAGGGGCTGCCGGTGGGAGGGCGGGGGCCGCGGCACCTGCTGACCCGCCCGTCCCCCCAGGCCTACACTGACGAGCTGGTCGAGCTGCACAGACGGCTGATGGCGCTGCGGGAACGCAACGTGCTACAGCAGGTAGGGCAGGCCGGGGGGCGCGGGGGGGGGGGCGCCGGGGGGGGCGCTGGGGGGCAGGGCAGCCCCGCCCCGCCCCCACCTCCAGCCCTGAGGTGGTCCTGCCCGGGTCACCCCGCCCTGAGGTCCCCCGCCCGGTCACCCTGCAGATCGTGAACCTGATCGAGGAGACGGGCCACTTCAACGTCACCAACACCACCTTCGACTTCGACCTCTTCTCCCTGGATGAGAGCACGGTGCGCAAGCTGCAGAGCTACCTGGAGGCCGTGGCCACATGACCCGGGCCGGTCCCTGCTGCGGGGACCGCCTGCCCGCAGCACCGCCTTACCGCCCGCCCAGTCCTCGGCCCTCCAAGCCGGCTGCACTTTCCTTGGCGGCTTCCTCCCGCCCTCCCCACTCCGTGTGGGGAGCCCCCGGGGCCGAGGGCTCCCCTGCCCTCCTCTGGGCAGGTGGTCCGGCTGAAAGGTCCTGACCAGGCTAGGCATCAACTCCCCTGAGAGGACGAGGTGTGCGTCCTGCCGGGGGCTTCCTTGCCCAGCCCCAGCACAGCAGCCCTGCCTGCCCCCCCGGCCTCACTGCAGGCTGTGGGGCCAGGTCTTGCTCCCCAAACGGTTCTGAACACACCCTGCACCCACCTGGGAGCCAGCGGCTCTGGGTGTCTGTGCGGCCGCCCGGCCGGGCCGTGCTGTACAGTTTTGTCTATATTATATTTGTGTGTGTGCGCTGTTAAGCCCACAAGCGGTTTCCAATGTGCGTTTCTGTGGTGGCAGTGCCTGTGGGGGGTGGGGGATTCGAGGGGGTGGGGGGACTCGTAGGCTAAATGTCTCGAAGACTTATGTGGAGCTGCAGGCCGTGCGTCACCCCCACCCCAGCGGGGGCCCCAGGGCCAGTGAACCCTCCGCCGGGGTGGACGGGGGCGGGGGGGGGGCGTCCCCCTCCATGGCCGCCGCCTCCCCAACCGCTTCGTTAAGCGAGTCTTCGAACTTTGAAAGAAAATGAGCTTTTGCCAAATAAGACGGGATGCTCACTGGAGCTCTCCAGCCCCAACTGTTGGGGCCACCGCCTGCCACCCACCGCCACTGTCCGTCCTGGGGACAGGCCCAAGGACACTGCCCCTTGACCCTCGACTCTCCAGCCAGGCTGCTCCAGGGCCCATGCAGGCCCTTGCTGAGCCGGCCCACCTCGGGGCTCCCGGGCTTGGCTCGGCCTCTCGTCTTCCTAGACCTTGACTCAAGGCTCCTCCCGTGGCTGCCTCCCCACCCGGCCCCAGGATCCTGTCAAGTTCCTGCACCCTGGCCGAGGTGCAGGGGCCAGGCCTGGGGCCCTGCCAGTCAGCCCCCTTCAGACGCGGGCCGTGGGGTTTGATGTGCCCCCTTCCCTAGGCCCCGAACTTCTTCTTGCTCAGATTCTACTGGGTAGGTTCCCCCATCACCCTGACACTCCAGGCCTCCAAGGCACTCCCCACGCCCAACTCCAGCTGCCCCCCGAGGGTGGGGAGGACAAGGATTGCAGAAGTGACCTCAGAGGCCCCTGCACCTGCCCCCCTTCTCTCCGGCCCCACTGCCTTCAGGTACCAGGGAAGGGGCGGGCTGTCACTGCCCTGGGCAGCCCCTTCTCCAGGCAGGCCAATAATACTCCAAAGTGAGGGCACCTCCGCTCCCTGCCCCCACATGCCCGAAGACCAAGACGCCGGACAAGACATCCCATGCCCCGTCCCGGCCCAGGCCGCGCAGGGGTGGCGGCCACCGCTCGGCCTTCTGCACCCCGGGATCCGCATGGCGGCCCCAGGCCCTTGGCACCATCAGTAAAACCTCCGCAAGCCCGTGTCTCAGTTACCTCCTCTGGCCAGAAGGCCTCGCCGAGGGCCACAGCGTGCCCTGCTGCCCAGCAGCTGGGCCCAGGGGGGCACTTGGTGATGGCCACACATCCCGTGTTGAGCTGCTCGCCATCCCCCACCCCCGCGCGGACCCCGGGCCCGGCCATCTCCTGAACAAAGTATAAACGGACGCCAGAGAGCAGAAGGTATTGGTTATCTTCCCCGCCCACGCGGCGTCTCCGCTGGGAACCAGGACTCGCCGATGAAAGGAACAAAAAGGAACTTGTTTGTGATGCGTCACAGGATTGTTTGCGTCCTGATTTTAAACTTTTTTTTTTGTTGTTGTTGTTGTTAAATTGTGAAATTATGGAGTTTTATAGAAAAAAAAAGTGAAATAAAGTCAGATGGGAAAGCAGAGTGGCCTTTTGTGCTTCCAGGGGAGTCGGGTGGGAGCAGCGGGCTGCTTGGCCAGCAGGTGACAACACCAGAACCCAGAGGCTGGCAGCACGCACGAGGCTCACAGCCTGCTGTGGAGGGGGCAGCAGGGTTAGAGCTGTGGGGGCGCGCCGAAGGTGGATGGGTGCTGGGGGAAGGCTAGGCGAACGGACGCATGAACAAATGGGTGTATATTTCGGTGGATGGGTGGTTGATGGGTAGGTGGGTGGTTGGTTGGATGGGTGGGTGATGAATGGATGGACTAGTGGGTGGTTGATGGGTGGGTGGGTAGATGATGGGTGGGTGGGTGGATGGACGGATGGGTAGATGATGGGTGGACGGGTGGGTGGATGGACGGGTGGGTGGGTAGATGATGGATGGGTGGGTGGATGGACGGATGGGTAGATGATGGGTGGGTGGGTGTGGGGGTGCCTGGCACTGAACTTGTCGCTGCTCTTGGCCCCAGCTACCTGTGAAGCAGCAGAAATGACATTCCCCATCACAGGACGGTTTCAGACCTGAGGCCCTCGAGTCATTGTGGCGTGATGGAAGCTCCCAGTATGAATCCGAGGGGTGAGGGTGTTACCCTGAGCCTCACCACCCCCCCCCCCCCCGCCATACTCTTCGCAGCCTTGGTGCCTTTGGAGCCCCCGCAACCCCAAACAGGACACAGCCTCAGCCAGTGGGTCCAGGTAGGTGTGGTCTCACGGCTCCTGGAGTCAGTCTGGCCTTGTCACTCCCGGGGCAGTGGGGTGGAAGCTGGGGCCCTTGCCAAAATCTCCCAGTGAGGGGACACGCCCCAGCCAGGGCTTGGCTCCAGAGACCAGGCCTCTGTCCCCCGTTCCGTAACTCCTGACCTTTCCCCACAGGTAAAGCCGGCTTGAATCCTGGGTGGGTGGCATGGTGGGGGCCGCCCTGGCCTGTGGTCCACGGCGGCCCCCACTTCCCGGCCACTCCTGTAGGTGTAAGCCTGCCAGATTCTAAGGCTGGCTGGGACCCTAACCACTTAGAACTTGGCAGTCTAAGAACTTGAAGTGTTTGCTTATTTTTTGAATGGCAGAGAGAGAGAGAGTTCCTTCATCCCCTGGTTCACTACCCAAATGGTTAGGAGCAGGCACTCCTTCTGGGTGTCCCACATGGGTGCAGGGGCCCACACACTTGGACCATCCTCCACTTCTTTCCCAGGCCATAAACAGGGCTCTGGATTAGAAGTGGACCAGCCGGGACTTGAACCATGTCCGTGTGGGATGCCGGCATTGCAGGCGGTGGCCTTACACGTTACGCTACAGCACCAGCTTCTGGGTACACTCTTTCAGCCACAAGTTCCCCAGGTTGTTCTGATGAATCCAGGGTGTAACTCCCTCTAACTCCTCTCACACACACACACACACACACACACACAGGAGCAGACCTGGGGCCCACCCCGTTCTCAACACACACCCCAGGGTGGGCGCAGGTGGCGGGGTGATGCCCTCAGGTGTCTGTCCTGCAGCAGGGCATCCCCGGGCAGCATGTGGCGTAGAAGCAGGCCCAGGCGAGGCACCGCGGAGCGACCTCCGGTTCTCATCACTTTAATATCACTTTCCCGCGCGGAGTGAACTCCCCCAGGCACACCAGGATGCCTCCCCCTGAACCCACATCCTCCAGCCCCACACCCCCTCGTGGGAGTGAGTCAGGCAGGAGGACTGGGGGCCTGTGGCTACTTCCACGCAGATCGGAGTCCACGGGGAAGGGGCCTCCCTGGCCGCTAGCCCTCCTGGTGGTCCTCGTAGAACCGTCTCATCTCCACCTGGTACATCTTGGCCACCACCGCCCTCCTCAGCTTGAGGGTGGCCCCTGCCAAGGGGTGCAGGTCAGGAAGGGGGTGGAGACCCACTGCTCCCACCCACCCCACCCCAGGGGGAGGGTCCCCAGCAGGCCACATTGTCACCAGAGTGGCAGGGCCTCCTCACCGCCCAAACCCCCACAGCAGGTGCCTCCATCCCACGCCAGCACATCCCACCTCTTCTCACCAAGCTCTCCGCCGGCCACCGAGAAATCCTTGTCCAGGATGCACCACTTGACGACCCTGGCTCCGTGCGAGGGTGCGCTGGCGTTGGCCGCCTCGATGGCCAGGCTCACGGCCTCCAGGACGGCGGGGTCGTGGCCGTAAACGATGTCCAGTAGCCGACTGGACTGACTGTGCAGCTTGCGGCAGAAGGCCACGGCCTCACTGGTGAGCATGTGGCGGGGTTCTCCCGTCTCGGGGTTGATCTGGCACTGGCACGGGGGGCTGGTCAGGTGGTTCGTGGGGACACCCCCACTGCCCCGCCTGGGCCCGTGGACTGTCCAAGGGGTGGCCCCATGGCCTCTGCAATGTGCTGCTTTTAATTAAAATGTATTCACTAGAAAGAGGCCCGGTGCAATGGCTCAACTGGCTAATCCTCTCCCTCCAAGTGCTGTCATCCCCTCTGGGCACTGGTTTGTGTCTCGTCAGCTCCACTTCCCATCCAGCTCCCTGCCTAGGGCCTGGGAAAGCAGTGGAGGACGGCCCAAAGCCTTGGGACCTTGCACCCACGTGGGAGACCCGGAAGAAGCTCCTGGCTTCTGGCTTTGGATTGGCTCAGCTCCAACCGTTGCAGCTACTTGGCAAGTGTACCAGCGGATGGAAGAGCTTTCTGTCCTTTTTCTCCATAAACCTGCCTTTCCAATAAAGAAATCGAACGGAAAAAGAGAACTTCCATGGGTTGGTTCACACCCCAAATGCCTCGAGCAGCCAGGGCTGGGCCAGGCGGAAGCCAGCAGCTGCATCCGAGTCTCCCGCCCGTGGACGGCAGGGTCCAAGGACTTGGGTCACCTGCTGCCTCCTGGGGTGCGCATGTGCAGGAGGCTGGGGTGGGAACAGAGGTGGGACTCAGACCCTTGGGGCCTGATGAGGCATAGAGCTGTTGCCAAGACACAAGTGTAAACACAAGGCCTGCACCTGGTCCCCCAAGTGTCCCCGATGTCACCCCCTCTTCCATCAGCACCTTCAGCGTGAGCAGCGCGCACAGGAAGGGGGCGCCCTGGCCCACAACCACCACATAGCGCGCGATGGGGAGCCCCAGCTTCACGCAGTCCTCGATGGGGTGCGGGTTGATGGACTCGCCGGTTTGCAGCTTGATGACGTCTGCACATGGGGAGGGGGCGGCGCTGAGGGTGGTCAGGTCCCTTCCCCCTCCCCCGGCCCCGCCTGCCTCTCACCCTTGATGTTGCCCGTGATGGAGAGGAAGTTGTTCACGTCCAGGAAGCCCAGGTCGTCCGTGTGCAGCCAGCCTTGCGCGTCCATCCACTGCCGGGTGGATTCCTTGTCGTCCAGGTACCCCATGAAGACGTTGCGGCCCCAGATGCAGATGCGGCCCTCGCCCTGCGCGTCCTGGTCCACCACCTTGGTGCAGGCGCCTGGGATGGCCTTCCCACAGCTGAGGGGGACAGGCGGTGAGCCCCCCAACTGCCCACATCCCTCCCAGGGCTCCCCACCCCCTCGGCTCCTAGGGTGCAGAGTGGCAGGAGGTGGGGAAGGGCACCGGGGACAAGGCGGGGAGACAGTAGGGAAGGAAAGAGGGGTCCAGGCTCCCCCGGAGAAAGAGCTGGTGCCTGACACCCCACTCGCACAGGCCGGGCCTTAAATGTGATCACAGCTGCCACCCTGGCCCAGCCATGCCAGCTGTCACAGATCCTATCCCGTTTTCGTGTCCCACCGCATATGGAGAGTTGACGACCCACACCACCACAGGGGCCATGCCTGAGAAGCTAGGGCACCCACCTCTGCAGCCGGAAGTTGTCCTGGGTGCAGAGGGAGTGGACACCTGAGGCTTCGGCCAGGCCATACAGCTCCAAGATGGGGATGTTGAGGCTCAGGAAGAAGTTGAAGGTGACCCGAGGCAGCCGCAGGCCCGAGCTCAAGAACTGGTGGCAGCTGCCCAGGCCCAGGAAGCGCCTGGCGCTGTCGAAGGTCAGCAGCTTGGCCAGGCGGAAGCACAGCGAGGGGTGCACCTGCCTTCTGACAGGAACAGCCCACGCAGCCAGTGGGCGGGGTCGGCCTCAAGCCTTGCCTCCTTGGCCCCACCCACCCAGGCCCCACCCCCCGCCCGGGCCACGCCCATCCAGTCTCCACCCAGGCCTCGCCTCTGTGTCCAGGCCCCACCCTCACCCAGGCCCCGCCCCTCAGCCCAGGCCACACCTCTCCACTCAGGCCCCACCCTCACCCAGGCCCCGCCCCTCAGCCCAGGCCACACCTCTCCACTCAGGCCCCACCCTCACCCAGGCCCCGCCCCTCTTTGCTCCAGCCACGCCTATCGCCAGGCCACGCCCTTCACCAGGCCTTGCCCTTCCACCCACGCCCCCTCGTCCCCGCCCATGCCACACCCCTTCATCCCAGGCCCCACCCCGCTGTCTGGGCCCCGCCCCGGCCACGCCCCTCGTCTCCAGGCCCCGCCCCTCACCTGAAGACCCGCTTCCGGTTGTCCCGCAGCCCCACACTCGCGGCCCACGCGTCCACCTTCTGCCAGAAGGCGCTGGCGTCCAGCTGCCGGGCCTTGAGCGCGTCCTGCAGCTGCTCCCAGACCCAGGGGACGCCGTAGAAGGAGGTGGGCTGCACCTCCCGCAGCAGGTCCACCAGCGAGCCCTGTGCGGGGCAGCAGGGGCAGGGCTGGGGCAGCAGGGGCAGGGCAGGGCTGGGGCAGCAGGGGCAGGGCTGGGGCAGCAGGGGCAGGGCAGGGCAGGGCTGGGGCAGGGCAGGGCAGCAGGGGCAGGGCAGGGCAGGGCAGGGCAGCAGGGGCAGGGCTGGGGCAGCAGGGGCAGCACGGGGCAGGGCAGGGCAGCAGGGGCAGGGCTGGGGCAGCACGGGGCAGGGCTGGGGCAGCAGGGGCAGGGCAGGGGCAGGGCAGGGCAGCAGGGGCAGCAGGGGCAGGGTAGGGCTGGGGCAGCAGGGGCAGCACGGGGCAGGGTAGGGCAGGGGCAGGGCTGGGGCAGCAGGGCAGCAGGGGCAGCAGGGACAGGGCTGGGGCAGCAGGGGCAGTACGGGGCAGGGGTGGACCCACGTGGTACCCCGTCCCCTCACCGCGCCCGGGGGCCACGCCGCACGCCCGGCTGTCCTTCCCAGTCCAGGAGGTGGGGAGGGCAGGAGGCAGGAGCCACCCGCCGGGGCCCACAGTGCCCAGGGCCGGGCCCGGAGCCGGGCGCTGCCGCCAGGTCTCCCTCCCTGGGTGGCAGGGACCCGAGGACCTGAGCTGTCAGCCGCTGCCTCCGTCCAGGCTGCACAGGAGCCGGAGTCGGGGCCTCAACTCGCCACGCGGTGGCCATGGCCCCCCGCCCCTTGCAGCTGCCTTCTGAGTCCCCTTCTCCCACAGATGCCCTCATGCCCCCAGGAAGAGGGGAGTGGGGAAAGGCGCCATTGTGGCACAGTGGATGAAGCCACCGCTCTCATAGGGGCACTGGTTCTAATCCCAGCTGCCCCACTTCTCATCCAGCTCCCTGCTTGTGGCCATCGCGGCCACTAGGCAGTGCAGAAGCAGCAGAGTGAACCGCCGCCCGTGTCTGCGTCTCCCAGGGCCGCTCCTCGCCATGGCTGCTGTCCCAGTCGGCCCAGTCCTCGTCCTATTCAGGGCTACATAGTACTCCACTTCCTGTCCCACGCTGAACCCAAGGCACTTCCGCCCCTACCTGGCCCTCCCTGGGCAGGAAGCCGGGGGGTGGAGCCACGGCTGCGCAGTGGTCCGCATGGGTGGTTACACGCATGTGCAAGGCGAGTGAGGCCTTCTGGTTGCCACAGGGCTGACTCCACCCATTGCGGCCTAGAGCAGCCGCTCATTGGTCCAGCATCCCTGAGTGGGTGGGACATGGATGACTCCACCCCTTCTGTTCGAGACAACTGCTCATTGGTCCATCATTCCCAAGGGGGTAGGCCGTGAGGCGTTGGCGCCGCCCCTGCGGCCAGAGGCAGCCGCTCATTGGCCAGCTCCGGGCCGTGGGCGGGGCGCTCACCTTCAGCACCTCCTCCGGCTGCGTGAAGTAGAGCGTGCCGGCCACGGCGATGGCCACCCAGACGTGGAAGAGCTGCGCCCGGAAGCAGCTGAGCGGCAGGTAGCAGAGCAGCACCTCCTGGCCCTCAGGGGGACGCCGGAAGCTGAGGCTCTGCACGATGGCCGCCGTGGTCCAGGTGATCTGCAAGGCCGGGTGTGTGAGGCGCGGGCCGGCGGGAACAGGTGCGAACCGGCGCGAACCGGGGGCCGCTCACGTTGTCGTGGCTCAGCATGGCCAGCTTGGGGCGCCCCGCGGCCCCCGGGCGGTGGACCAGCGTGCAGCACTGGTTAGGCTTCTGCGAGTCGATGACCTGGTCCAGCTGGGCGTCCGACACGGCCTTGGCCAGCTCCAGGAACCGCTGCCACTGCGGGGAGGCGGGTACCCAGGGGTCAGGGGTCAGGGAGCGGAGTGCACCCAGAGGCCCGGCCGGGGCTCCCGGGGGTCAGGGAGCAGAGTTCATCCCAAAAGTCCAGGGCTCGTTGGTGGTCAGGGAGCAGGGTGCACCCAGAGGCCCGGCCGGGGCTCCCGGGGGTCAGGGAGCAGGGTGCACCCAGAGGCCTGGCCGGGGCTCCCCTTCCTCCCCAGGCCTCGGGGCGCCCATGCACCGAGTACAGGCCGCGCTGCTCTCTCCGGATCTCTTCCTGGTACTGGACGATAGCCTTGAGGTGCTTCAGGGAGCCCCGGATCTGGGAGACACACACGGTGGGGAGGTGCATTGTTGGGTAGGTGTGGCCGGATAAGGAGAGACCCAGCCAGACCTGCCCCAGAGGGCCACAATGGCTGGTGGGGCTGTCTGTGCCAGCCAAGCCAGGAGCCAGCAGCTGCTCTGGGTCTCCCACGTGCGTGCAGGGGGCCAAGCACTTGGGCCATCCCACCTGCATTCCATAGGGACACCAGTTCAAGTCCCAGCTGCCCCACTTCCCATCCAGCTCCCTGCCTGTGGCCTGGGAAAGCAGTGGAGGGCCCAAAGCCTTGGGACCCTGCACCCGCGTGGGAGACCTGGAAGAGGCTCCTGGCTCCTGGCTTTGGATCGGCTCAGCTCCAGCTGACACAGCCGCTTGGGGAGTGAAGATCTTTCTGTCTCTCCTTTGCTCTGTAAATTTGCCTTTCCAAAAAGAGCAGCAAACCCACACACTGTGATAGGAGGTTGGGTGTTTCCAAGACGTGACCGGACAGCTGGCCAGGTGTGCATGTGGGTCTGCTCCCAGGGGGGACGCGGTGGTCCTTCTTGTGGGAGTTCCAGCCAGGGGCACCTGGTCCCAGTGTCGCCTGAGTCATTTGTAAGTAGCCTCAGAAAGGTTGCTCCTGGGAGCCCCGAGCCCTGGCTGTGTGGAACCCCGCCACCCGTCCCCTCTTCCTGCCCAGCGGCGGTCAGCACCTCACCTGGGTCACCTTCTGCAGGTGTCTGTCGCTGTCCACCACGAAAATGTCCATCTTGGACTTCTGGGCGATGAGCCGACAGACTCTGGGCGAGTTGGTGGACAAGAGCCCCACGGAGAAGCCCCTGGAAGCGGAAGCAGGAAGGACCAGGTGGGTTTCCTGACCCCGCCCCCCATCCAGGCCCACAAGGTACCCCGTGGGACGGTAGGACAGAGGCCCACGCTGTGTGCTAGCGTGTGCGATGAGTGAGGGGGCTCCGGCGTTCTGGAAGGGAGGGCCTGGTGTGGGGACCCTCCAAGCAGGGAAGGCTTCCTGGAGGAGGGGATGTGTGAGCTGGGCTCGCCGCCCCCACCAGCTGTCTGCTGGGCAGGCCTGGGGCATGGGGAGGGTGGAGCAGGCAGCGTAGGAGGCCTTACCCTGCCATGATGGCACCAATGCTAGCGATGACCCACTCTTGCGAGTTCAGTCCCATGATCCCCACGCTGTGGCAGCGCTCGAGGCCCAGCTGTGGGACGGGTGGGGTGGAAGAGAGAGAAAGAATGAACTTCCATCCACTGGGTCACTCCCTAGGCAGCCACGGCAGCTCTGGCTGGGCCAGGCCAAAGGCAGGAACCGGGAATGCCGCCCAGCTTTTTCCCACGCAGGTGACAGGGCCCCCCAACCCCTGGACAGTGAACCAGTTGTGTGTCTGCCTCTCCAACACAGAGGAAAACCACCTGTTGGTTGGATACCTGGCCGGACAGTGAATGCATGTAGCTGTAATGTGAGGGCGTCCCCTGTTGAATTCCTGCAGCAGGCCTGCTGGCTGCTGACACTACTAGAGCGTGCATGCTTATATGTGAGCTTATAATATCTGAAACCCACTGGGGCGTGCGCAAGTTCCATACTTCTCCATTTGGAAGCGTGGAGCCGTGTGGCTCACAGACACAGGCACCTGGCCTTATTCCAGTTGGGAGTGATACACAGGTGCAGGAGGTGGGAACGTAGGGACGGATGGAGCGTCACCCCAGGCGTGTATCTGGTGGATGCAGGGGCGCGGGCCACCCCACCAGCACCGCTCTGCTGGCTGTACCCTGAGGAAGGCCTTGGCTGCACGTCGGCACTCCTCGTAGTACTCAGTGTACGTGAGCAGGTGCCAGCCGTTCCTGCGCTTGGAGCCCAGTGCGACATAATGGGAGTACTTGAGGGCCGTGCCCATCAGCAGGTCGTGCACGGTGAGGGGCGCCTCAGTGTCATACAGGTTCCTGTCCTGTCGCAGCCGGACCTCGCCATCATGCTGCGTGGTCCAGTAGTTGAGGCCTGCAGGCCACCAAGCAGGGAGACAGAGAGAGAGAGAGAGAGCCTGGTGTGCAGGGGAGGGGCGGGCAGGTGCAGACACGGGCTGGAGGTGGGGGACAGGATCCGGGAGAGGCAGGGACACAGAGGCAGCGGTGGGACCCTGCTGGGGACAGGCAGCATGAGCTAAGAGAGCGAGAAAGGTGGGGCAGGACACGGGATGCTGGGATGACCAGCCTACCTCCGCCCTCCGCCTCCTCGCTGTGGGCACTGTCGCGGCTGCTGGGCCTGGCCATCTGGTCTACTGGGGCTGACCAGACATTGTCATGAGCCAAGTGAGAGTGGGTTGAGAGGGTCCCGAGGAGGCACAGCCTGGCGCCACCGGCCCCAGCAGGCCTCTCGGGATGGCTGCAGTGACAGGCCGGCCCAGCGCGGCGGGTAGAGAGGGAAGCCAGCTGACGAACTCCGTCCTGAGGCTGCTGAGGTCCAACACGTTGGCCGGAGGAGGAGATGGAGCGAGGCAGGTGGCAGCCAGGACACTGTGCCCGTCTGTCACTGGGGTGCAGCCCCCGCCCCCTCCCCTCCACGGTCTACTTTCACCCCTCTGTGTAGACGCCCCCCTGCCTGGAACCCCGGGGGACAGCAGTCTGGAGATGGGGCACACTCAGAACTTAGCCCTGTCCATGGACCGGCCCTTATGACCTCACGGCAGATTCCGGGGTGCTGGCACGGTCCTCTGATTGGCCCGTCTCTGAAGAGTGACCCCATGCAGTGGGGGAGGGGGACACCCCAGAAAGCGACTCACTGCCCCTCCCCACCAGTTCAGTGATCTCCACGGTGACGGTGCCCAGGGAGGAGGTGGGCTCCTAGCCTCGGGTTCAAGTGTGAACGGTGCCGCGGTGCACCCTGGCCCGGGGTGAGGGCGGCTTTCAGGGGGTGCCGTGGGTTGGGTCCAGGATGCGGTGCTGGGGTGGGGTAGCGAGGGAGCACGTTATAGGTTCATTTGCCCCCCCACACACACACCCCCACTTACACACACACTCACTAACACACACTCACTCACACACACACTCACTCACACAGGCGTGGTGCGTGCTCGGGATAAATGAACTCGTAAGTCTGTGTAGAATGCCACTTTCACTCATGGCTGGACGCTGTTGGGTTTCAAAAGTAAAAAATCAATGGCTCAGTGGCTACATCCTCTGCCTGTGGCCTGGGAAAGCAATGGAGGATGGCCCAAAGCCTTGGGACCCTGCACCCGCGTGGGAGACCCAGAAGAAGCTCCTGGATCCTGGCTTCAGATCAGCTCAGCACTGGCTATTGAAGCCACTTGGGGAGCAAACCAGCAGACGAAAGATCTTTTTATCTCTGTCCATAAACCTGTCTTTCCGATAAAAGTAAATACGCCGTTAAAGAAAATAAAAAATTCCAAGCCAGAACTGATGTGTGTTCAGGCCATTCTCCGTCACACTGCACACGAAGCACGAAGTGTCCGCCTTGGACTGTCCATCGAGACCAGTGACAGCAAAGAGCTTTATTGTCAGAACTTGTCGGGGGGCTTCCAAGTGGGGCTCCCAGGCACGTGTGTAGGTCCGGGGGCCTGGCCCTTCAAACTCGAGGCGGCTAAGGTCTCTTGATGTCCTCTGGAGGATCAGAGAAGGAAAAAAATATAATCAATCCAGCTGCAAACGCCAACGCTAGAGCTGTGTTCTGGCCCAGCCAGTCCCTGTTGGTCCTTGCACTTCTCCGCCCAGGGCTTCTCCAGGCCCATGGCTGGGAGGGGCGTGGACAGACCTGTGAGAAGCCTTGGGCTGCAGCAGGCAGGGTTCAACGAGGGCACCTCCTCACCACCGTCGGGCAAGGCGACCACCAGGACAGCATGACCTCGCAGACTCAAGGAGCAGCACCTGCTCCGAGGAGCAAGCCGCCACCCGGCGGACCTGGGGCAGGAGAGAGAACAGGATGTGACGTGCGTGCCCGTCACCAGCCATGAGACACCCCTAGGGTCTTACTGAGAGAACGGATTCCCTGGGCACCACCCCTGACCCCCACGTCCCTCCGTGGAGAGCTATCTGCTGAGTGATGCCATCGGAGGAAGATGCCACAGCGGCTTCCACCTTCCACCCACACAGCTCAACTGTCTCAGTAGCTGCATGGAAAGAAAACAAATGAGCGGGGGAATCGAATGGTTACAGGAAGTGTTCTGTGACCCCATGTGTTGTCATCTCAACCTTGGACGTCTCGAGCCAGAGGGGCCGCACCCAGGCTGGATGGGGTCCTAGTGGAGGGTCCACCTCCCGTTGCAAAGTCAAATCAGAAGTGCTGCAAAGATGGGAGGTGGGGCGGTGGCAGTGGACGTGGGATGCTGAATGGAGCCCACCCTGAGACACTTGACAAGGGGTGGGGGACTTGAGCCAGCACGTGTTGAGTGAGAGGCAAACAGACTGAGACAGCACGGGCCTCGGGGCAGTCCTGCCACTGTTCACCTGCCATGAGTCATGGCGCCCAAAGTGCGGCCCCATATGGAAATGGATTCATTCCAGAGGATGGAAGGAAATCATTAGAGCAGGGGGGCTAGCATTGACATAGGAAGAGAATCAATCTCTCTCTCTCTCCCTCTCTCGCTCTCTCTCTCACACACACACACAGCTGCAGGGTCAGGGGGAGGTGGCCACTTATATACCCTGGACTGACCATTACAGCAGCTCATCAAGCCTGAGTCCCATTGTGGGGGGGGTCTGCAACCTGGCCCCTCCCCACACCAATTCGGGCATCAGAAGCGGGACACTTTTCCCAGGCAGGAGTTATCCAGGAGCTCCTGTGCTGTGCGGCTGCCTGAACACCTGGCAGGTGAACGGGCTCACCTCTCCGCTCCTTTTTGTCCCCAAGGGGGGGCCAGCCGTCCAGGGTTCCTGGCCCATGGAGGAGCTTTCTCCTCCAACTGCTGAGAAAGGCTTTCGAACCACTGCCTGTGACACCAGAATCTGATAGGGGCATCCCAGAGTCCACATGCACTCTGTGGTTCTGCTCTCCCGTGGGCCTGCCATGCGTGGGGCGCTCTCAGGCCGTCAGTCATGGCACAGCCACACCTAGGGGACCATGCCTAGCACCCACATCTCACCGTCAGTCAGCCCGCAGCAAGTGCAGCCACTTGCACAGTCATTGGTATAGGCTCTCGATTTGCAGCCTGTATTTGAGGTTTATGAAATGCCTCTTAATTTTTGTCGTCGGACCTGACAAGAGAGGAGAAAACGGCTAAGCCAGCTTCTGTCGAGGCCGAGCCAGAGCCATACTTGTCGGACTTTCCAGCCACCAACAGCTGTGAACGGAAACCTCTGTTCTTTACAACACAAACCCTCCTGTGGGATTTCCTTATAGTAACACAAGGACTGACCCAGCAGGAGCCGTAGCGAGCACCGGGTGGTATAGGTCCAGGGCTAAGGATGGTCATTTAAGCCAACATGGGGAGGGAAGGGCCACTGTCGGCAGGCAGCTTGCAGGATGAGGCCTGGACGGCTAGGAGGAGGGTGTTGGAAGCAGAGGGAGAGCAGGTGCCAAGGACCTGTGATTGGACCGAGCAAGGAGAGCTGCAGGCAGCATCGACAGGTGGGGACAGAGGACAGGGAGTCCTGCGCAGAGCTGCAGGGAGGAGTTCAAATCTCACTTCCAGAGGCAGGACACAGCACCAGGATGAGTCAGTGGTCAGGGAGCTGGAAGCCCATCCGCTGAAAGTGGCAGCATCTGTCCCACACCCACCAGTCCCCTCAGAGTAAAGGATCCGTCCGTTTGGAGCCCATGGGGACCCGGACACAAGCCAAGGACGGGCACCCTGCTCACCTAGCTCGCCGGTTACAATGGAGAAGTCCTTCTCCAAAATCAGCCACTTGCGGATCTTCTGCGCGTTGGAAATGGCCTCCGCGTTGACAGCGTCGATGCCCTGCTGGATGGCCATGTACACCAGGGGGTCCCGCAGCCTCACGACCTCCGTCACGGTGCTCGCCTGGCTGCCCACGGCTCGGCAGAAGTTGAGCGCCTCCGGGCTCAGCTTGTCCAGCGGCTCCCCGCTTAGCCAGTCGGTCTCACACTGTCCCCGCCATGCCCCACCCCGGGGGGGGACACCCATGTCACCACTTGGGGCCTGTCCGTAGCCGGTGCCACCTGCCCACCCCAACCCTCACCCCCGACCCTCTGTGTGTGTGTGGGAGAGCAGGGTGTGGATGGTAGTCTACCTTCAGTGTGAGCAGCATACTCAGGAACTTGGCCTTGTCTCCCACCAGCACAGCATGGCTGATAATGGGAATCTTCTGCTTCGCCAGGGTTTCGATGGGGACAGGGGACACGTTCTCGCCACCAGCCGTAATGAGGATTTCTGTAACACGGGCCGGCTGGTCATGCCGTTTTCCCCACAGTGGGGTGCCCCTGCCTGCCCAGCTGCATGTGCTGCGGTGCCTTACAAAGTGGCCAAGTGGACTGCGTCCGACAGCCCGGCTGCCTGTTGCTGTGCTGGGGGTTGGAGGTCAGGGGTGTGTGTGTGTCTGACTCAGAGAACTGCCCCCAATGCAACGGCGCCACCTGCTGTCCATGATGTGCACCTTCTTCCGCTTCCACCAACCCCTTTCCTCCAACCCCAACCCTGGGGTCTTGCACAGTGACCAAGCCATTCTGCTTCAAAGTTTATGGAAAGGGCCCCGGTACAGGGCCTCGCACACCCTGGGATCCCATATGAGCCCCGGTTCCAATCCCAGCAGCCCTGCTTCCCATCCAGTTCCCTGCTTGTGGCCTGGGAAAACAGTGGAGGATGGTCCAAAGCCTTGGGACCCTGTACCCGTGTGGGAGACCTGGAAGAGGCTCCTGGCTCCTGACTTCAAATTGATTCAGCTCCAGCTGAACCAGGAGCTTCTTCCAGGTCTCCCACGCGGGTGCAGGGTCCCAAGGCTTTGGGCCATCCTCCACTGCTTTCCCGGGCCACAGGCAGGGAGCTGGATGGGAAGTGGAGCAGCTGGGACTTGAACTCGCGCCCCTATGGGATCCCGGCACATGCAAGGCGAAGACTCTAGCCACTAAACTACAGTGCCAGGCCCTCTATTTGTTTTTTTATACACACACACACAAAATGTCTTTTAAAAAATTGTGGGAAGTGTATATCATAGAAATTGTGTGTGGATTTCAAAAACAATTTTTTTTTGGTGGAAAAATAAATTACTCTGAGGTGGACAAATAGCTTAGTGATAAAGAAGCACACGCCAAGGGCCTGGGTTCGAGTCCCGGCTGGGGCGCCCGACTCCAGCTCCCTGCGTATGTGCACCCTGGGAAGCAGCAGGTAGGGGCTGAGCGCTGGGGTCCCTGCTGCCCACGGACGAGGCCAGCAGAGCGTGCCCGGCCTCTGGCCCTGGTCTTCGGTTGGTTACCGCAGGTGTCTAGGGAGGGGTTCTGCAATCGGGCACTCTGTGTGTCATTGTGTCTCTCACGTAAATACACAGACTGGCCTCTTAGCTCCATTTTCCTAACAGGGAGTGGGAGTTCACCCAGGCCCCATCCTGCCAAGCTTGGAGCCTGCTGTCACGTGTGGGGAGTGGCAGAGCTGCAAGCTGCAAGCTCCGGGGTTTGGGGAGCCCTAGGGGCGGAGCCTCGGCAGGTGCAAACCAGGGGGCGGGGCCTCGGCAGGTGCAGCCAGGTGTGACCCAGGGGGCGGAGCCTCGGCAGGTGCAGCCAGGTGTGACCCAGGGGGCGGAGCCTCGGCAGGTGCAGGCAGGTGTGACCCAGGGGGCGGAGCCTCGGCAGGTGCAGGCAGGTGTGACCCAGGGGGCGGGGTCTCGGCAGGGGCGGGGCCTCGGCAGGTGCAGGCAGGTGTGACCCAGGGGGCGGAGCCTCAGCAGGTGCAGGCAGGTGTGACCCAGGGGGCGGGGTCTCGGCAGGGGCAGGCAGGCTCACCCCAGTCCCTTCCTACCTTTGATGCGTCCCGTGATGTACAGGAAGCCCTGGGTGTCCACGCGGCCCAGGTCCCCGGAGTGCAACCAGCCGTCCTCATCGATGGCCTCCGTGGTGGCATCCTCCATGTCCAAGTAGCCCATGAAGACGTGGCGGCCCCACAGGCAGACCTCGCCGATGCCATTGGCGTTCTGCTGGGACACCATGGTCTTACAGCCGCTCAGGACCTTCCCGCAGCTGCCGGAGTTGGGGGCAAGGGAGCCGCCACTCAGACACAGCGCCAGGGGCACCTGCCCCGGCAGCCCAGCAGGCAGGTGTGGGACCTGGAACTGGGTCTCACTCCCAGTGCCTTCCTCCACGGGGTCCCACTCCCAGCGCTCCCTGGACCTGAAAGCTCAGGCTGTCGTGGGCAGCTTCTTAACCTCGTGTGTGTGTGTGTGTGTGTGTGTGTGTGTGTGTGTGGTGGGGGGGATAAATTCCAGCCATAAGTATAGTCTTCAAAATAGTCATGGGAAATGTGTTATGGGAAAAAATGCATGGTTTTCAAATTCCTTTTTGTACCAAAATTGTGTGTGTGTGTGTATGTTGATTTGAAAGGCAGAGAAGGGCCGGGGCACAGTAGCCTAGTGGTTAAAGTACTCCTCTTTTTTTTTTTAAGATTTATTTTTATTATTTTTTATTGGATAGGTGGATATACAGAGAGGAGAGACAGAGAGGACGAGCTTCCGTCCAATGATTCACTCCCCAAGTGAGCGCAACGGCCAATGCTATGCCGATCCGAAGCCGTGAGCCTCTTCCGGGTCTCCCACGCGGGTGCAGGGTCCCAAGGCTTTGGGCCGTCCTCCACTGCTTTCCCAGGCCACAGGCAGGGAGCTGGATGGGAAGCGGGGCTGCCGGGATAGAACCGGCGCCCATATGGGAACCCGGGCGTGCAAGGCGAGGACCTTAACCACTTGTGCCACCGCACCGGGCCCTAAAATACTCCTCTTGCATGCTCTGGGATCCCATAGGGGCACCAGTTTGTCTCCCAGCTGATCTACTTCCCATCCAGCTCCCTGCTTGTGGCCTGAGAAAGCAGTGGAAGACAGCCCATGTGGGAGACCCGGAAGAGGCTCCTGGCTCCTGGCTTCGTATTGGCTCAGCTCAGTGGCCGTTGCGGTCACTTGGGGGGTGAATCATGGGATGGAAGATCTTTCTCTCTGTCTTTCCTACTCTCTGTATATCTGACGTTCCAATAATTTTTTTTTAAATTTTTCATTTTTGAGGCAGAGATAACAAACAGGGGTTTTTTCCATCTGCTGGTTCACTCCCCCAAAGCCTGCAGGAGCCAGAAGAGGACCACACTGAAGCCAGGAGCCCAAAGCTACACATCCTGGTTCCGTGAGTGGGCTGCAGGCCCCCCCACCGCCGCCCCGAGTCCTGGCGCCCACCCTTCTACTTGGCAGGGTGTGCACAGCAGGAAGCTGGAGTCAGAAGCCAGGCTGGGGCTTGAACCCCAAGGTTATATCTCAAGCCATGACCTTACTATGCTTGCAAACACCTGCTCCCTGCCCCCCCCCCCAGCTTGCCTACAGTTCCACACTTCCAGGAACTCTTGGAGGGACCCTGATGGGTGTTTGGTCTGGGCACCATTGATGCCAGAAACGGTTGTGGTGATTTTGCCTTGGCGGGACATTTATTTGAATGGTTTGAATGTGTCTTCTCCTCCCACTTCTCCTTCCCCCCCCAAAAAAAAACACTCCCCAAGCCTGACGGGAGGCAGGAAGCTGCAGGTCGGACTGGCTACGATGAAGCTATGCACCGTCAGGCCGGCCTTAATCCAGGATAACCCTGTGTCCTTGCAGCAGGTTCACGCATGGAGGTGACATGTGAAGGCTGGAGATCAGAGATGTTTCCCCCCGCAACCGGAGCCCCCAGGGACCGCCAGCCCCACGTGCAGCTGCGCATGCCCTACTCCTTGATACAGCACGCCTGCCCTCCAGAACCGTGAGTTAGCCATTTGGTGGTTCTTGGTAGTGGATGATTCGTCCAAGGCCCCAGTGCGGAGGGGGAAGCTTTTCACCGCCCCTAGGGGCTCCCATGTCCATGGTTTGAGGCCCAGCTGCTCTGCTTCTGACCCGTCTCCCTACTGGTATCCACCCTGGAGGGCAGCAGGTGCTGGCTCCAGGAGATGCCTGCTACTACCCCCACGGGGATCCCAGATGGAGCTCCTGGCCCCTGGCTCTGGTCCTGTGGGTGTCTGGGAGGTGAGCCAGCCAATATGAAGTTCTCTCTATATATATGCCTTTCATATAAAGACACAGATCTTGAAGACATACTGGAGGTAGAGGTTGGCCTTTTGTGTCCTACCAGGAAGTGTCTTATCTCCAGGGAAGGCATGCCCTTTGGTTTCCAAGGAATTTGAGTGGGCCTTTGGGTTCCACAAGAGACAGCCCAAGTGGGAGGGACGACAGAGCGGACAGGGGTTAAAGCCAAGGGCAGCAGGTGATTTTGCCTCATTGGGAAGATTCAGCTGGCAGTCAGCTTCCCCAGCCAGACCCTGGATGACTGGAGAGGCCCCAGTCTGGGAGAACAGCCGGGCCAGGAGGTGGCCACCAGGAGGAGCTGGGGAAGAGCAGCCGGGCCAGGAGGCGGCCGCCGGGAGGAGCTGGGGAGAGACAGGCTAGGTTCTGGTTCCTGGTCCTGGGAGAAGGCCAGGGAGGACCCAGGCAGGGGTCTGAGGTGGGGCATCCCAGGGATGGGGTGTTGAGGCTCTCATGGTGGGTGGGGGAGGATCATGCAGCGGGGTGGAGGACAGGGCAGGGCGTTGCAGCTGGCCCCCGGCCATTGGACTCTGAGAGGCTGGGCTTCCGTAGGCGGGAGGTGTGGGGCACATGGAAGCTAATGGAGGCCTTGCCGTGATTGGGGGACCCGCGCCCACCCGCCTGGGAGCCTGGCACCTGTAAAGGCGGTAGTTGTGCTGGGTGGACACCGTGTGGGGTCCTGAGCTCTCACTCAGCCCGTACATCTCGCCAATGGGAATATCCAAACTGAGGAAGAACTCAGAAGTCTCTGAGGACAGTGACGCGGCCCCGCTGATGAAGTAACGGCAGTGGTCTAGGCCCAGCCAGCTCCTGACCTTGCTGAACACCAAGGCCTTGGCCATGCGGTAGCTCACAGTGGTATCGCGTTTCCTGGGGATGAGATGGGGCCCAGGAGAGGTGCGCTGGTGCCGTGGTGGGAGGCCAGGCTTGGGTACCTGGGCAGGCTGGGCTTCCTCACCTCCCACCAAGCCCCCCACCACGCAGCCTACCCCATCATCTTCCTCGTGTTGACCCTGAGTCCGGCATTCTTGGCCCACGAGAACACCTTCTTCTTCAGGCTCGAGGACTTGCTCATGCTCTGCCTTAGCGTCTCCTGCATCTTCTCCCAGATGCGGGGCACCCCAAGAAAAGCCGTGGGCTTCACCTCCTGCAGTGTGCCGATCAGCGAGCCCTGTAGGTGGGGCCACAGCCATGGGTCTCTCCCCGCCCGCCTGCCCATCTGCCCTTGGCTGCCGGGGTGAGGGTGGACTTCAGGCCCCAGGGTGGGCCAATCGGATGCTTGCATTTGCTCTAGGGATCGGGTGAAGGGCGGTCAGCCGCAAAGCATTCTGGGGCACCTGTCATATGAATGTCTTTCACCTCAGCCGCCTCGGCCTCTCCCCCTGTCCTACCCTGTTCTCACGTCCCTTTGATTCACGCCCGCCCCCAACCACGAGCTCTCCCCTGACTCAGAGAAGCCAGACCCTCCCTCCAGCCCTCTTCAGGTGTCACATGCGGAGGACACAGCCCAAGATGAGCCAGCCCAGCCTGAGGCAGAAAGAGAAATACAGAAATAAGAGAGGAAGTTTGAATACTTGGAGACTTAACAGTGAACAGTGGCAGGTCAGGTGGAACAACTGGACAGGGGAGGGGAAAAACAAATGCAACCACTAACCCCAGGAAAACCAAAAAGTTGTGCCGGGTGGGAAGGGGCTCAGCTGAGTTAGTTCAGGGTGATTTACCTGGCGTGTATAGGGTGGCGGAAATGAAGAGGAGGATAAAGAAAAGAAGTGTACATCACAGGGCCCAGTGAAAGGGGACACAGACAACGTTCCACTATTCAAAACATGTAAACCCAGAAAAGGCGACGTCCCATCTCCAACCTCCGGGAGACGTGACTAAGCCACGTGGCCCCTACCTTGAGCGCGTCGGTCTGAGCAAAGTACGTGACACCCCCGACCTTGATGGGCAGCCAGATGTCCATCATTTGGGCTGCGATGTGGCTGAGGGGCAGGTAGCTCACCACTGCCTCCTGCTTGCCCGTGGTGCTTGTGCTTGTAAGGCCCAGGTTCTTGGCCAGCGTCCCCGCTAGCCATGTGATCTAGAACACAGCAGGCAGATGGCCCGCTTAGCTCTATTCGGTAATAATTAGGAAGCCAGGAGCCAGGAACTCCCTCGGGGTCTCCTGTAGGTATGGCAGGGGGCCCAGGTACTTGAGTCGTTACCAGCTTTGCCTTCCCAGATGCAGGAGTAGGGAGCTGGGTCAGAAGTAACTAGGACTTGAACCAACACTCCAGAAAAGAGACAAGCTTAACCCATGGAGCCTGCACACACTGGCCTCGCCATAAGTTAAAAAAAAAAGACTTCACAAATTCTCTCTTTGTGGTACACATACTATTCTTCGGCGGGCTCCCAAAGTTTCCTAGTGCCTGTTGACGTTAGCTAAATGGATCCGTACATGAAGCAGTTACCAGCAGGGACAGTGCGAGCAGCCGGCCCTGGTTCTCACCCTGCTCCTGACACGTTCCTTATCGAGGGCTGGCTGGAGGCCCTCAATGTGCTCATTTATGAAATAGCACCTGCTGGAGAAAACGGCTGGATTGCCATAAAGTGAGAAACCTGCCCAACAGAGACATCGGACACGCGGTTTCCAAGTTCTCCTTGGAGGCAACCAGAGCGGCTGTGGAGCTACATTCCGGGACCTGGTTGACTGTGAACCCTCGGGCTACGAATGCCTTCTTCAAGGCCCACCCCTTCCTCTCCAGGCCCCCAGCTGCACATCTGCTTGCTGCCAGTCACTAAGTTTGCCCTTTCGCTCGGTTTTCTAGACATGAAACCACAGAGCAGGCATTTGCCTTACACTTTCCTAACAGTGACCTCAGCCAGCCCCGCCCCGCCCCGCATCCATGCACCCACGCAACCACAGAAACACTGGCAAGAAGACCCCGTAGGGCCATTAGGCTTGTTGCACTCTCATTTTACAGATGGGGAAACTGAGGCTCGGCAATGTCAGAGGCTTCGGCTGAGATCACAGGGCAAGGCTTTGAACTCAGCTCCACCGCTGCTCCACTCCACCCCCAGCCCTGCTCTCCAGCCTCCACGGGGCAGGGATACCCTGCGCTCCCCGTGTGCGTGTGTGTGTGTGTGTGTGTGGTTGGAGGCAGGCAGGACAAGGCAGTCTAAAGACCAGAGGGGAGGAGCTGCAACGCACATTGTCATGGCTGAGCATGACGCCCTTGGGGTTGCCCATGGTGCCGGACGTATAGATGATAACAGCACACTGGTTCGCCTTCTGGCTCTCGATGATCCGGTCCAGCTGGAGGTCGGGCACGCTGTTGCCGAGCTCCATGAAGTCGTCCCACTGCAGAGGGAGAGAGCAGAGGATGGCGGCAAGCCGGCCGCAGGAGAAAGGTCTGTCCCCCCCCCCGTCCTACTGGATCCCGTCCGCTCTCTCTGCAAAGCGTGATTCCCGGCCATGCTTTTCACCCTGCAACTTTTTTGCTGCTGCTCCCCGCTCCCAACACCAGCTCCGGGCACCCCTATTTCTTGTGCCCCAGATCCCTGGTTTGTAAAATGGCAGGGGCGTCAGGATCCGGCCCCTACAGCAACAGAATGCACATAGGTGGCCCTAGGCACCTTTGGCGGGGATGGGGGGGGCGTTGGTCCAGGACCCCAGGAGACACAAGGTCCCTTACAATCAGTGGTGTGGTGTTTGTACTGAGCCGACACCCATCTTCCTGTAGACAGACTGAACTTCACAGGTGATGGATAAGAAAATGCAGGGGGGCGTGCAGGCTGAGCATGTATCTGACTGCTGTTGAGATCTCTGAGCGTGGGGTCTGCCCCTAAATGTCCAGAGCGCTGGTTCTCCTGTGCTTGGGGCGCACTGTGGGGTCTTTGCTACTTTTGCAAGTTCCTTGCAGAGGCCCCGCCCACTGGTCCGTTAGGCCCCGCCCACTTCCGTCACCCACACTGCCTCCTTCCTCCCCGTCCCCACTTACAGAATATAGGTTATTATTTCTCTCCCGCATGGGCAGCCTGTACTGGACGATGGCTTTCAGGGTTTCCATCTTGCTTTCTGGAATCTACAAGAAAAGTTTGTGTAGGTTTCTTGGCACCCCAAGCCTGGGGAAGATGGAGGCGGCTGGGGTGGGGCGGGAGGAGTCCTGGAACAGGGCTAACCCACGTCCTCCCCTGTGGGAACGCTATGCTACCCATGGACGCCTTGGTGTCAGCCAGCCGGTCAGTCGGTGAAGCCACGCCGGCCCTGGGCAGGCCACTGTGGTGGCTGTGCTGGGGTGGGTGTGGACCCAGCCTGGGTAGAGGCAGGCAATCGCATCAGAGCACCCCATCATCCCGGCTGCTCCACTTCCCATCCAGCTCTTTGCTGGTGCACCTGGGGGAGGGCAGCGCTCCGGCCTCTGCTGCCACAGGGGAGACCCGGATGGACCTCCCGGCTCCTGGCTTTCCCCAGTCCCAGCTGATGAGGCATGGGGAATGGGTGGAGCATTTCAGAATAAACCCCAATGTCTTTCAAATAAATAAATAAATCCTTTATTCAACCATGAAAGTTTCTAAACAGCCGCGGGATGCCCAGGAAATACCATGTGATGATGGGTTTGAAGCAGAGGCTGAGTAATAAGCCAAGTGCATGCGATGTGGAAATTCAAATTGTGCCCTGTCCGCCGTGCCTCCCCCACGCCTTTCTCCCCTCGAGGGGGCCTCCCTGGGTAGACCAGGAGGACCCACTCCTCGTCACCATCCCGTGGGGGCCGAAGGACACCTAGGCCGGGAACCCAGAGTTCCCCTGGGGGTGGGACGTGGCCGGCAGCGCCGGGTCCGGCTTTTACCGAAAGGATCTTCCGAAGCTGTTGGTCGTTTTCCACCAGCAAGACATTCACCTTGGCCTGAGTGATGACGTATTGGCAAGCGTCGGCAGAGTTCGTGGCATAAATGCCAACACAGAGGCCCCTGGGAAAAAATAAAAAAGGAGAAGGGATTCAGGTGTATGCGCCTCCCCTTCCTGCACTGCAAAGTGTCCTCCTCCTCCAGGCAGGTGCCGGGATTGCAGGACGTCCTGAGATGAAGACCAGACACGCAGGGAACGTGATGTCGTGACGACAGTAGTCCTTGGGACACCCACAGCCCTCCCAGTTCCCAGAAGAGGAGAACGAGGGACCGGCCAGCAGTGCTGCTCGTTCGAGGTCCCACCTGGGACTCAAAGCCACAACTCGGCCTGCGTTGCCCCTTACATCCGCAGCCTCTCTGTTCGGTCAGCCACGCGAGCTGGCGTCCCGTGGTGACCTCCAACCTGCCCTTTCACTTGAGCAGTGACCGGTGAGGTCTGCCTTGAGTCTTTTCGCTGTTGCTGTTGCCTCTTCAATGCCAAGCCCGAGGTTCTCCCAACGCCCTGGTGCCCGGGCCCCGGGTGGGGGGGGGTGATGATAACCCACTTCCACTTTCGGGGGACGCACCTTACCCTGCTAGGATGGCGCCGAGCGCAGCTATGAACCACTGCATGGAGTTGAAACCCAGGATGCCAACTGCGTGGAAGCGCTGCAGACCCAGCTGCGAGGCAAGAGAGCGGCCAACGGATGGGCGGCAGGTGCACGGCCACGCCCTCGCACCTGTCACCTCCACCCGCTTCCGGGCCACTTCAGAGCAAAGCTAGCCAGGGACCATTTAAAAAGCATCCGACCCGTTAGAATTTAACACCAGCAGTATAAACAGTGTGTCTACCTTCTTGATTGATGAGGGGTTTTATTTTTTTCTAAGATTATTTTTCATTTATGTATTTTAAAGACAGAGAGAGAGGTCTTCCATCTGCTGGCTCACTCCCCAAATGGCTGCAACGGCCAGGCCCGAGCCAGGTTGAAGCCAGGAGCCCGGAGCTCCTTCCGGGCCTCCCTGGGGCCATCTGCTTCAGCCTTTCTGATCGCGGGATGAATCAAGGCTAGTCTATGTAATCAACAGGATCTGGGAGAAGTGATGGCACCCATGTGGAAGTCCCCGGATGGAGTTCCCAGTTTCTGCCTGTGGCCCGGCTCCCCCCGCTCCCAGCTGTGGCAGGCACCTGGAAAGCAGGCCAGCAGGTTGAATCTATCTCTGTCGCTGTCTCACCCCGCGTGCTGTGTCTCTGCTTTTCAAATCAATCAACGCATAACAAAACTTTTAAAAACAGGGGAACTTGGTCCCTCTCGCACATCAATGTGTATATGCCTCCCACCTCAAACGCAAAGTGGATTGGATAGGAACGGACTGGGGCGGGGCATCGCCGGACGGGGTGGGAGGGCAGGGGAGCAGCGACAGGCCCTTACCTTGATGAGGGACCTGGCGGCCTTCCGACAGGCCTCGTAGTACTGGGTGAAGTTCAGCATCTCCCACTTCTTGCCGTTCTTCGAGGCCAGAGCTGGGTGGGTGCCGAAGCGGTTGACGGAGTCGCGGAAGAACTCGGGGACGGTCATCGGGGTCTCGTGGCCCGGTCCGTGCTTTGAGAGCCTCAGGAGGACTTCTCCACTCCGCTCGGTGGTCCACAGGCTGAGGGGAACTGTAGGCAGGTCCCGGAGGGTGAGCGGGGAGGCAGAGGGGACGGGGCCACTGGCAATGGTTTCTATTGATTTTCTAACTTTGGGGGTTTGCTGGGTTGACTGTCATTCACTCCCTGCCACAGCCAGCACTGTACCAGGCCGAGGCCAGGAGCCCTGAACCCAGCCATGTCTTCCACTCGGTTGGTGAGGACCCAAGTGCTAGGGCCCTCCGGGGGTGTGCGTGCTGGCGGGAAGCTACATCAGAAACGGAGCCAGGACCCAAACCCAGGCTCTCGGATCCAGGATACAGAAATTAAGCCCTCACGCCCCCCCCACCACCACCAGTTGCTAAAACCCTGCCAGTTAAACACCCATCTGAGTGGGATGGCTTGCTTGCCTGCATGACATCTCTTTTGCAAAAGGGCACCTGTGGACGGGGAGGCTGCCTTGTGGCTGGCAAGGTCCCCCGAGTCCAGCTGTGGCCATCACACCCAGCTACCACATTCACAGATCCAGGCAGCACTGGCCACGTTGTGTGTGCACGGGGATGCCGAGGGCCGGCCTGGCCAGCAGGTGCCTCACGGCCCTGCCCCACGCTGTCAGTCACTCGCTTGTGAGGGAAGTGTACAGGCTGGTCCCTACAGGGTCACACGTCCCTGTGCGTGGCTGCTGGCACAGTCGGCGTGTCCTTCGCGCCCCCTGCCGCCCCCTGGCTCAGCGCACCTGAGGGCTTGCTGGTGTCCATTCCATGGTCCTCAAGCTCCTCTTCCAGAGTCACGGGGGACTCGGCCTTCACCACCTCCACAGGATTGCTCTTGATGGCACTGCAAAAAGTCCATGACGAGACCTGAGCCGGACTGGCAGGGAGACCCGCCTCCAGCCGCTGCTCATGTCTGCCGAGAACCCCGGGGTTCGATGGTCATGCCTGCCCTGGGCTGAGCGAGAGGGTGGGTTCAGCTGGTTGTCCAGAAGGGTCGCTGAGACGGTGTGGCTGTAAGGTCAAGTCACTAGGTCATTGTATGGGGGACAACGTGCTTTGAAATCTTCCAGAATATTCTTGCCCGTCAGCGGTCTCAGGGCTTCAGTTCAGGGAACCCTTCTCACACGGTTCCTAAATAGCCATCTAGACCAGGAAACGGCACCGGGTTGGCATTAAATCTGTGCCAATCCATGTGCTTCTGAAGGTCCCTGCTGTCCCAGGAGCAATGGAAGTGGAGCAGCCAGGACTTTAACCAGTGCTGCTATAAGACGCTAGCTGCACCGTGACAGCAGCCCGTCTTTCTAGACTCATGAACCATCTTTATGGCTGCTGGTCCCAGATATAAACTCTACCTACAGGGCTTTTCAATTGTATCATTTAGGGAACAGCCAGGAAAAAAAAATATTACCAAGATACAACTTTTTGTCTTCTTTTTCTTAGATTTATGTATTTGAGGACCCAGTATGATGGCTCGCAGAGTAGGTAAATCCTTGCCTTGCAAGTGCCGGCATCCCCTAGGGGTGTTAGCTCATGTCCCGGCGGCTCCACTTCCCATCCAGCTCCCTGCCTGTGGCCTGGGAAAGCAGTGGAGGACGGCCCAGAGCTTTGGGACCCTGCACCTGCGTGGGAGACACAGAGGAAGCTCCTGGCTTCAGATCGGCTCAGTTCCGGCCATTGCGGCCACTTGGGGAGTGAATCAGTGGGTGGTTCTTTCTTTCTGCATTTCAAACAGCAGAAAATAAGTAAACCAACTCCTAGGAATACATGGGGAGTAGACAACATTTGCAAAGAACACAGCTGACACTACAGACCTTAACCAGCGGGATTACACTCAACCTGTTCGCCCTGCACGGTGCTGCCCGGGTCAGAGACCTGGACCGGAATCCCCACGGCTTCCTGTTGCCACCCTCTCGGCCACCCTCTCGTGCCCTGCTGCCAGGCCCCTCACCTGCCCCTCTTCATGAGGTGAGGTTGTGGCCGCCACGGTGAGGCATCGGGAGCTGGGGCGTCTGTTCAGCACATGGGTCTTCCTTCTCGCCCCGACAGGCAGCCCCTCCTGGGGACCTGAACAGTAGGTGGTTTCGTGGTTTCCCCCTGTCCAATAAGCCCACTACCCCATTTAACCTTCTAGAACATTCCAGAACCTTCTGGCACCTTTGTGACATCACTGCCTGGCCCTTACCTCCCCATCCCCATGCCTCTCCCCTCTCACAAGGAAACTGCTTCTAGGGCAGGGGTTATTGTCAGTTGTTCATTCATTAGTCACTCATCTACACTGTGCATTTGTGTCTGGCTCTGGAAGGTTCTAGAAGGAACCACCCAAATGCAGGGCCTTGAGCTAAACGCTGGGGAGTGTCACGGAGTACAGACCCACAGCGAGGTCTGTCCCTGGAGAGAGAGAGATGCTTGGAGTCACACAGACACATGTAAAGTGGCAACCACGGAGAGGCACAAGGCGGCCTGGGAGAGATGACGTTGGGGGCAGACAGTCTGGGGACAGGGTGCCAATTCCCTGAGCCCAGATGTGTCTGTCTGAAAGACAAAGGGACGGTCTCCTACCTTCTGCTTTGCTCCCCAAATGCCAACAGCCAGGATCGAACTTGGGGACCCAGAACTTCATCGGATGTCCCAAGTCGCCGCTGCAGCCTCACGGTCTACACGAGCAGGGAGCTGGAGGAACAGAGGCGGAACTCAAACCCCGGGCCCTGCGGGAAAGGCCGTGGCCATCCCAGGGCCGGCAGATTAGAAGGGTGCTGCTCCTGCTTTCTGCAAGCTAGCAGGTGATGGTAGACGAGGGAAAGCAGTCGAGGATGGCCCGAAGCACCTGCACCCGCATGGGAGACCCGGAAGAGGCTCCTGGCTCCTGGCTTCAGCTCTGGCCGCTGTGGCCACTTGGGGAGTGAACCAGCAGATGGAAGATGTTTCTCTCTCTCCTTCTCTCTGTAAATCTGCCTTTCCAAGAAAAAAATAAACAAATCTTTAGACGTGTTCTTATTAGAAGCAACGGACAGACACACCCCTCTCTCATCCGTAGTGTCTGGTATATTTGTACACACGCAAGCATGTGTATATTACCCTGTCGCACACGCTGTCTGCTTAATGCACGTTTACATTACACAGACCTTATGGACACGATAACACACAGGTGCACTCCCAAAGAGTCCTCATCTGGTCACACTCACACACACACACACACACCTGATTGGAAAACAACAGTCTTCCTGCTGTGGGAGGTGAGAGGGTAGGATCCCTGGCAGCCAGGTTGTCCCTCAGAGGAGAACATGAGGACAGCTGGGGACAAGCAGAGCCTGAACCTAGGCAAGCGGAGATCAAGTTCTGAGGGCAGTCTGATGGTGGTGGTCTGGGGGCTTCTGGATCCAGCAGTTCCCATTGTGTGTGTGTGTGTGTGTGTGTGTGTGTGTGTGTGTGTGTGTTTTCCCTTTGAGCAGCAGTCAGCAGGAAATGTTGAGTGCAAGAGGCAGAAAGCAAATTTTTTGTTAGATTTATTTAAGGATTTATTTACTTTTTATTGCAAAGTTAGATATACAGAGAGGAGGAGAGACAGAAAAGAAGCTCTTCCAACCGTTGATTTATGCCCCAAGTGACCGCAGCGGCCGGTGCTGCGTCAATCCAAAGCCAGGAGCCAGGAACTTCTTCCGGGTCTCCCACGTGGCACCCAAAGGGGAGATCAGATGGAGCTCCTGGCTCCTGGCTGTGGCCTGGTCCAGCCCTGGCCTTTACAGCCATCGGGGGAGTGACCCAACAGGCGCGTTTCTTTGTCTCTCTCTCTCTCTCTCTGCTTTTCAAATCTCTCGACAAAGTCAGTGTTTGAACAAAGCAATCTCCGCCAGCGTGCGATGCTGACGGAGCTCGGAGGAGCTAACCCATTTCTCTCTGGTTACGTATTTTTGAAACCCTTTTTCCTTCTCTGGTTTTCTATGCAATTCTCCTTCCTTCCCTCCTCTCTGCAAGTTCTTTGTCCTCAGCCTCTTCTGTGTGGACCCTGGAGATGGCCCATGCATGTCCACCCTCTCTGGTTGCCTGGAGATAATTCACGCGCTCGGCCAGGGAAAGCGTGGATTTTGGAAGAGGCACCTTCACCTGACCCCCTGGCAGGCGCGCTGGGCCGTCCCCACTGTTCGCTATGGAAATGATTCCGTGTGGCACGAAAATGTGGCGATGACCAAAAGTGAAAAAAAAAAAAAAAAAAGATTTCTCCCCGCTCTCAAAATCCAAGGGGCACTCGGGTGCTGCTGGTACAGAAGTCACCCACGGACAGCCGCTCCTGATGGAAATGGCCCTTGCGTGCTGTCTTCGCGAGAGCTGCCGGCTCGAGTTCGGGTCCTTGCCAGTGGGGAGGCGCTCAGACGCACCTCCTACGTTCTAAAAGAGCCCGTGGGTGCTGCCAGGTGCCTGCCAAGGTGCGCATGAAGCCTTCTGAAAGGCAGGGTGTCAAAAGAATCAGATGGAAAATTAGGGAGAAAGAGAGAGATTATCTGTTCATCTGTTCCTTTACTCTGCACGTGTCTACCGTGGCTGGGATTAAGCCAACTTAGGCTCAGTCAGGGGCCCGAGCATTGGAGCTGACTGCTTTCTCGGAGCAGCCGGGACTCGAACCAGCGCTCCGATATAGGATGCTGGTGTTGCAGCGCCAGCCCCAGGTGGGCCCTATTCTATACTGGCACATCCTCACATGGGCCATCTTGCGTTGCCTCCCCTGGCACATCAGCAAGGAGCTGGACAGGAAGCTGAGCAGTTGGGACTCAAACTTTGCACCTCCTTGTGGCGCTGGCAGGTGGAGGATTAGCCTGCGGAGCCATCGCGCTGGCCCTGTTAACTTCTCTCCCACTTGCCATCAACTGCCTGGGGTCCCCACGTGGTGTGTTGTCAGAGTCCTCTGCGGTCAGAGGTGGGTCTCCAGGTGCCCCATGGACGCAGACGTGGGTCTCCCCCAAACCCCGGGTGCCCCATGGATGTGGTCATGGGTCCCCCAGACCCCAGGTGCCCCATGGATGTGGTCATGGGTCCTCCCAGGCCCCAGGTGCCCCATGGACGCGGAGGTGGGTCGCCCCCAGATCCCATGTGCCCCATGGACACAGACGTAGGTCCCTCGGTCTTAGGTGCCCCATGGACACGGATGTGGGACCCCTAGACCCCATGTACCCCAAGGATACAGACGTGGGCCCCCCAGGTCCCAGGTGCCCCATGGGCATGGAGGTGGGTCTCCTATGTCCCAGGTGCCCCATGGACGCGGACGTGGGTCCCCCAGACTCCGGGTGCCCCATGGACGCGGACGTGGGTCCCCCAGACTCCGGGTGCCCCATGGACGCGGACGTGGGTCCCCCAGATTCCGGGTGCCCCATGGACGCGGACGTGGGTCCCCCAGGTCCCAGGTGCCCCATGGGCATGGAGGTGGGTCTCCCCCAGACCCCGGGTGCCCCATGGACGCGGACGTGGGTCCCCCAGGTCCCAGGTGCCCCATGGGCATGGAGGTGGGTCTCCCCCAGACCCCGGGTGCCCCATGGACGCGGACGTGGGTCTCCCTAGACCCCGGGTGCCCCATGGACGCGGACGTGGGTCTCCCTAGACCCCAGGTGCCCCATGGACGCGGACGTGGGTCCCCCAAGTCCCGTGGACGCGGCCGGCACTCAGCCCGTCCCCCAGGCGGAGCCACCAGCCCGTTTCTCCTGCCCCCGCCCACGCACGCGCGCCTCTCACCCGGCCCCGCCCCCTCCCCGCGCCGATTGGCCTGTTGTCCTTGACAGACAGTCGGGGCAGCCAAGGCGACGGGTCCCTGCGGTCCGTGCCGCCCCGCCCCCCGCCCAGCGGCGCCCGTTGGGGAGGGCGGTTGGAGCTTAGTAACCGTTGCCGCTGACAACGCCCCGCCCCCTGGCGGCGGGCGGCGGCGGCGGCCGAGGAGGAGGAGGAGGAGGAGGAGCGGCCGGCGCCGCCGCCATAGAGACTGTAGCCGTGGAGACAGTTACTTACCAACGGGGACCAACACGCAGCAGCCGCCGCCACCGCCGCCGCGGGAGCCGCTGCCCGAACTCCCGGCCCGAACTCCAGGTGACCGTGGCCGGCGGACCCCGGGGTGCCGGGCGAGCTTGGGGGGGAGCCGAGGGGTCCGGGGCGGGGATGGAGGACCCCGAGGACGGGGGTGCCGGCCGGCGTCCCCCCAAAACGCCCGTCCGATCCCGCGAACCCCCCCCGGCGGGAGCCGTCCGTTCTTCAAACTTTCTGAGGCTTTTTCTTTTTTTGTGTGGGGGTGGGAGTGACGTGAAGAAGGAGTGACTTCAGATGCGCCCAACTTCCCAGGAACCCCTTTGCCAAGTCCCCCCCGCTTCTGGAGTTGTGGGGGTCCCCGAGAAAGGGGGTCCCCGAAAACGGGGGTCCCCCTCCTCCCCTGGTCCTGTTGATCCCTCACCACCACCACCAGCACCACCCCCTTCTCCGTCAATTAGGGGCGCCCGGCCCCACTCGCTCACGCCTCACAAACTTTTGCCCGACTTTGGAAGGGTTTGGGGTGTGGGGGTTTCTTCCTCTCAGGAACCGACTTTTCTCTCTCAACACCCCCAAATCCTCAACTTGCGGCACTCTCCTTTTTGTTGTTGTTGTTGTCTTAGCCTCCAACTGTGCCCCCCGGGGAGGTGGGATTGTATTTGGGGGTGGGGGGCTCCAACGCCGCCTCCCTTATGTACCTGCCCCCCACCCGCGCCATGCCCTGCATTCGGTGTGTCCCGGAGTCTCCCCTCTCCCCCAAGAAACACTGCATTTCTGGGGGTTGGCCCTAGGACTGCTTTCCTGAAACGTGGGTGCGTCCGTGCTGGGACGAACTGCTTGTCTCTCCTTGTGACTTTTCTGGACCGGTCTCTAACGAGGCGGGCGCGCTCACCTTTGCAGCGTTTGGGGTTCTTCGGACACTTCCCCCACTTTCTTTTTCTTCACTCCTCGCCTCTCTTCCTCTCCACCCCCTCCTCGCCTCACATTCCTGGCTTTGAGGGGGACCCCGGCTCCGCCCCCCGGCTTTTCCACGCCCGCCACCCCCGCGTGTGCGCGCTCGCGCGCGCGCGCGGCCACAGCTCCCCTATTTGGACCGATCTGGAAGCGAGAGAAAAGTTTGAGCAAAGTGTTGGTTTTGTGGTTGACTTGTTGAAGCGATCCACAGGATCCCGGGCCGCACCCCCGGCCCTGCTCTCTCTCCAACCCTGGCTTTCCTAGGTCGCTCCCTGCACTTTGGCGTGGGGTGGAGAGGTGGGGGGCCGTTAGCACCTGCTCGGCCAGGGGAGGGGAGGGGTCCCCTGCTGGGCTTCCTGGATGCCGGGTGGGAATGGAGCTGGGGGTTCCGCCGCGAGATCCAGGGTGGGCAGCCAGCGCCGCGCCTGGGGGGCGCCTCGTCCCTGCCTGGGGGGCTCCCATGGGTGCAGCGTGGGTGAGGGCGCCTCGTCCCAGTCTGGGGGGCTCCCGTGGGTGCAGCGTGGGTGAGGGCGCCTCGTCCCAGTCTGGGGGGCTCCCGTGGGTGCAGCGTGGGTGAGGGCGCCTCGTCCCAGTCTGGGGGGCTCCCGTGGGTGCAGCGTGGGTGAGGGCCCCTCGTCCCTGCCTGGGGGGCTCCCGTGGGTGCAGCGTGGGTGAGGGTTTTGTTGCTCTCCCAAAGGGCGTTGGCAGTGGAGAGCTAAAGCCTGCAGCCCTATGCCAGGTCAGATCTCCCCAAGGAAATGACCAGAGCCTTTATTATAAATGCTCCTGTACCCCTAGGTCAGACAAGAAGTGGAAAGGAGGCAAGATACTTTCGTGACCAGTAATAATAATAATAATATCCCAGAAATAAAGACAAATGATTGTCAATCTTTAAAAAAAAGTAAAAGTGACATAAAGACACTTGAAAGTCCAGTAATAATAATAATAATAATTAGTCATAATCTCCAATAGCAATAATGATCATAGCACCCCTTAAATATGTACAGTAACTACTTGTCAAGTTTGAAAAAAAAATCTCCTTTTTTAATACATCTTTATTTTTAGTTTTGAATGATATGGTACAATTTGGTATAGGCTGGGATTCCCCCCCCAACCTCCCACCCCCCAAAAACAATCTCTTTACAAGCTAAAGATATAGATGTTTCCAAACCAAATAATAATAACGGCATACAACATCGGCCAGATTATTATTATTATTATTATTATTATTATTTTGGCCCACATCACTGTTTTTATCACATACCAGGGCTTTTGTATTTGACCTGTTCTTGGAAGTTTAAAGACTTAGACCGATTCTAAAATAAGCATCACTCAACATCTCCAAGGGAGGGTGGGTGGATGGGAAGCCCTCCCCTAGGCACGGAGTTTTCATTTCCGCCATGGCCAGCCGGGGCTCTGGCATCCACAGACTGAGGTCTTAGCCCGGACTATGCCTGGGATATCCTGCGCCCTGGGCCCTGCTTTTCAAGTTGTCAGCAACTTCAGGAAAAGTTTGTCCCTTGCTGGGGGCTGAGCCGTCCTCAATCACGTTAACCCTTGTGGTGCCGCCCAGAGTGAAGGACCCTGGTGGCTGCCGCAGGCCATCTGTGGGAGGGCTGGGTCCCTGTGCGTGCCTGGCTGGGGACCTGTTGGGCTTATCTGTGTGTGTGTGGGGGGGGGCACCCTCACAGAAGTTGGCCACTGGGAAGCCCCAGCCCGTGGACCCTCCTGGTGCACACGCACACACAAACGCACACACGCTGTCAGTTCTGTCAAGATTCCCAGGCCAAAGGGGACAGGACTAGAAGTCACCTCGTGCCAGTTTGGGTCCAGTTTTTGGCTGCCAAACACATACATGCCAGATTGGCACAGTCTCGGGTCTCCATGTTGTTAGACGGGCTTGCGGGCTCCCCGTGCCGTAGGGGAAGGTGGTCGCACGCTCTCCCCTGGTATAGATGCCTGTGGCTGCTCCGTAGGCCAGGTTGATTTCCTTTGAAGTGTGCCTGGCACAGCCTGTGCCCCTCAGCTGTGGGATGAACGAATGGCCTGGTGGGGGGAACGCATGCTGGGGAGAAGGGTCGCTGAGAGCCCATGCCGTGCAGAGGGGGTGCTCCCATGGTCTCTGCGATGCCCATGCTGGGCATATCTGGGGAGCTTCAGAGAAGCGCCTGCATCTGGAGGAAGCCCAGTGGCGTCACCCTCATCCAGACCCCTCTTCCCAGGCCCTGCGCCCTGGCCAGTGTCCACTCACCTCTCCTGACTGTTCAGAGGGACACCAAATAGTCGCCCTGTCTCCTTGCTTTCTCCCAGGCTGCTAGCAAATCCTGCCAACTCTGTGGCAGTCACACCTGGCCGTCTGCTCTGTCCCCACGCAAGTCCTGAGGTGCATTTCAGAGTTCACACCTCATGGATCGCGTTGGGAGCTTGGCCCACCCTGGCCCTCCTCGTCCAGGACTCCCCATCCAGGATTCAGGATCTCCCCGCCCCTGGTCTCTTGACAAGGTCCTCTTTGCTCAGCTTGCTCCCTGGAGGGCTTCCTTACCCTTCTGGCCTTTTGCTCAGGGATCCCGGGCCACTGTTGAAAGCCTGCACGGCCTGGGAACACGCAGCACGTGGTCCCCATGGGTGCTATGCCGCCCCCACCTCCCACACCCCCAACCCCAGGGACGGAGGGTCGTTCTGCACAATCTGTGATGCATACCTGCCACAAGGTTCCGTGACGTGTCCAGGGCGGGCAGAGCAGTGGGGTTACCATCTCGGGTTTCGGGGAGCTCTGACGGGCAGCAGGGAGTCGGACATCAGCCGTGGCCTTGGGCCAGGGCAGTGAGGGGTTTTGGTGTGACGTGTGAGCTCAGAGGCCCCGCGTGAGGCCCTGCTCCCGTGCCCTCGGTAGTAGCAGCTGTGCTAGCTATTACAATTAGAACGAAGCAAACACATGGAAAGTGGCCTGGTGTGTGTGTGTGTGTGTGTGTGGGGTGGGTTCTTCCAAAGGGTCCCAGGGGGTGGGCATTCTGGTTGAGATTTGACTGGTCTTTAATCACAGAGCTGGGGTTGCCTCCCAGGGCCCAGCTCCCTGCTGATGAGGCCCGGGAGGCAGCCCTGATAGCCCACGTCACTGGGTTCCTGCACCCACATGGGAGACCCGGGTTGAGTTCCTGGCGCCGGGCTCTGACCCAGCCCGGCCCTGGCTGTTGAGCACGTTTGGAGAATAAGCCAGTAGGTGGGAATTTCCCCTCTCTGTTTCTCCATCTCTCAAACAATTGAAAGAAACAAACAAAAAACTTAACTGGGAGATGTATATTGTGAGAAAACAATGCATGGATTTCAAAACATTTTTGCATCAAAAGGAAGAATCCGAATTGCATTTTTTTTTCATGAACTTTTTGGATGTATCCTCGGAGGCTTCAGAAAGTTCCTAGACTGCCTGACACAGTAACCTGTGGCTAACTCCTGGCCTTGCACAAGCACTGGGATCCTATATGGGCGCCGGTTCTAATCCTGGCAGCTCCACTTCCCACTGGGAAAGCAGTGGAGGACGGCCCAAAGCCTTGGGACCCTGCACCTGCGTGGGAGACTTGGAAGAGGCTCCTGGCTCCTGGCTTCAGATCGGCTCAACTCCAGCTGCTGCGTCCACTTGGGGAGTGAACCAGCATATGGAAGCTCTTTCTCTCTGTCTCCTTTTCTCTGTGTATCTGTCTTTCCAATAAAAATTTTTTAAAAATCTTTTTAAAAAGTTCACACAGAAAAATGGAATTGTTATGTGGTTGTTTTTTTTTTTTTTTTGGTGAACTTTCTAAAAAGATTTTTAAAAAGTATTTATTCATTTGCAAGGCGGAAGAATAGAAAGAAAGAGATAGAACTTTTCCATTTACTTGTTCACTTGGTTGATCCCTGCCCGCCACAGCCAGGGCTGGGCCAAGCCACAGGTAGGGGTCTGGAACTCCATCTGGGTCTCCCATGTGGGTGGCAGGTGCCTGAGAGCTCGCGCCATCACCTGCTGACCAGGCACATTAGCAGGGAGCTACATGGGAAGTGGATGTGGGCATCCCAGTGTGGGGCGTGGGGTGGGGTGGCTGGACACACTGCCCCCAGTCCTTGCCTCGTCCCCGGGC